CTGACAGAACTTGCAGCAAGAGAAGGCATGAATCTAAATACTTACAGTACAGGTAAAAAGTGACGGGAAGTAAAGGAAGGGGCTAAAATGCATGAAGGCTTAGAGGGCAGAGAGATTGCTTTTCGTTTGGGGATTCAGGAAAACAATTTTGAGCTAAGCCTTGGAAGATAGGTAGAGATGGAAATATCAGTAAGTCAAACATAGGAAAAAGTACGAGCAGAAGCACCGGGCAGAAATCCTGAGACACTGTCAATCATGTACAGTGATGCTTCACTTAATGGAAGGAACACAGTGTGAGAAATGCATCACTAGGCGATTGTTTTTGTATGAACATTGTGTATGGAATACACTTTCGACACTGAGGTGGTACATCTTCCTACACACTAGGCTGTATGGTGTGGCCACCACGGTACCGTGCCCATTGTTACATAGTACATAGCTGTTATAGCCTTTGACTATGTCCTTCTCCATAGCTACTGATGCTGAGGTCTGAATTCATTTTTATAGAACCTCATGTGGTGTTTTGCATGTACTACTTAATTAATATTTGCTACGTAAATTTATTTTTTATTTTTTATTTTATTTTTTTGCTTGTGTGCCGAACTCCTCAGAACCATGGTGAGCCTGGCCTCCTGCTCTCTACCTCCTACCCCTGTCCCAGCCCCGCCATGCCCGGCAACACCGCTGCTCCCTCCGTGTTCTCAGAGTCGCGGGCTGCCCTTGTCTTGTCTTCTGGGCCCACCGCACATGGCGCGAGCCGCGGCGTGAGGCCTGCGCGGGTTTAGCCGGTAGATTCCTCCATGCGGGCGGGAAGGAGGAGTGGGCCTAATGAGGCGTCCTTTTTCTGTTCGGCCTTTCAACGGTCTGGGGACTACGAGACTCTGCTACGTAAATTTAATTACTTATCCACAGCCTTACTTGTGCTGGCCTCAGTAATAAAGCAAAAACCAATTTGAAGACTAGAATTCTTTGCCAGTAAAATAATACAGGTACTTGAGTACTTTACCTTCTTGATTTGATTTTTAAGGTGATAAATTAGAACAAATGAATTAAATACATGTAATTTATAATATTTCTGTATTTGACAAGAACAATTTAAGTCACACATCACAGATATGATTAAGTTTGATCAGAACAGCACAACTTATTTAGGATATTATTTAAATGACCATATTAAAATCAACTTTCAGACGGCAATTTATTATTTATTTTTTGGGGACTGGGGATTGAACCCAGGGGTGCTTAACCACTTAGCCACATCCCCAGCCCTATTTTTTTGTGGGGGAGATAGGGCCTCACTAAGTTGCTGAAGCTGTCTTTTGAGCTTGCTATCCTCCTACCTCAGGCTCCCAAGCTTGTTAGGATTATATATGTGCGCCACAGCGCCTGGCTGGACAACTATTTTGTTACATATAAGTACTTATATTTGTTTTATATTTCGAAATGCACTATATCCTTACTTTTTTTTTGTTTTCTAAATAAATCCATACAATTTTATCATTAATGTTTGTGTTCTTTATCTTCGGCATGGAAGGACTATTAATAAGGAGCCTTTAAAAAATAATGGAATAGCTAAATGTCAGAGGAACACTTTCATGCATGACTGTTTTAATGAAAAAATATTGGCTTTTAAAAATTATATTATTTTTAACTCACATTAATTGTACAATTAACAGGTTTGACTGTGACATTTTTATAAATGCATATATTGTACTTTGGTTATATCCACCTTCTCACTGCCTTCTCTTGCCATACTTTCCCTGTCCCCCATGGTCCCTTTCTCTTCCCTAAAATCCACCTCTACTTTCAGATAATCTTATTTATTCATTTATTCTATTGTCTCAACACATGACAGAAAATAAGTGATACTTATTTTTCTGTGTTTGGCTTATTTTGTGTAACATGTCCTCCAGTTCCATCCATTTTCCTGCAAATGACATGATTTCATTCTTTATGATTGCATGATACTCCAGTGTATGTGTGCGTTTTACCTTTTCTTTATCCATTCATCTGTTGATGTGAACCTAGGCTGATTCCACATTTTGGTATTGTGAATAGTACTGCAATAAATATAGGTAAGGAGATGTTCCTTTTGTATGCTGACTTCATTTTCTTTGGATACGTACCAAAGAGTGGGATACTTGGATCATATGGCAGTTCTGTTTTTTAGTGTTTTGAGGAACCTCAACACTGTTTTCTATAGTGGCTGTACGAATTTACCGTCCCACTGAGAGTGTATGAAGAGTTCCTTTTCCCCACATCCTTGCTAGCATTTGTCATTTTTTACTTTGTTGATAATGGGAATTCTAACTGGGGTGACATATAATCTCGTGTAGTTTTGTTTTACATTTCCCTGATGGCTAAAGATATTGAGCATTTTTCATATACTTACTGGACATTTGTACCTCTCTTGGGGAAGTATCTGTCAGGTCATTCATCCAGTTTTTTTTTTAATTGGATTAATTTTTGGGGTTTGTTGGTAAGTTTTTTGAGTTCTTTATAATATATTCTGGATATTTAATTTCTATTGGCTATTCATGTATATAATCTGGATATTAAATTTCTTTCAGATGAATAGCTGGCAAAGATTTTCTCCCATTCTATAAGTTGTCTTTTTATTCTGTTGATTGTTTCCTTTACTCTGTAGTATTTTTTTAAAAATTTTTTTAAGAGAGAGAGAGAGAGAGAATTTTAATATTTATTTTTTAGTTTTCGGTGGACACAACATCTTTGTATGTGGTGCTGAGGATCGAACCCGGGCCACATGCATGCCAGGCGAGCGCGCTACCACTTGAGCCACATCCCCAGCCCTCTATAGTATTTTTTAATTTGGTGAAACCCCATTTATCAATTTTTGCTTTTGTTTCCTGAGCTATTAGAGTCCTATTTAGGAAATTGTTGCCTATGCTAATATATCAAAGTGTTTCTTTTGTTTTCTTCTAGTAGTGTCAGAGTTGCAGGTCTTATATTAAAGTCTTTGATCCATTTTTTTATGGTACTGGGGATTGAACCCAAGGGTGCTTAATCACTGAGTCACATTCCCAGTCCTTTTTGCATTCTATTTAGAGAGAAGGTCTTGCTGAGTTTCTAAGCGCCTCATTAAGTTGCTGAAGCTGGCTTTGAACATATGAGCCTGCTGCTTCAGCCTCCCAGAGCCGCTGGGATTACAGGCATGTGCCACTGCGCCCAGCCTTTTATCTATTCTGAGTTGATTTTTGTGTGGGTGATAGATAGGGATACACTTTTAGTCTTCTACATGTGGACATCCAGGTTTCCCAGCATCATTTGTTAAGATGCTGTTTTTTTTCTCCAATGTATGTTTTTGACTCCTTTGTTGAGAATCAGATGATTGTAAGAGTGTGGATTATTTTTGGATCCTCTGTTTTATTATGGTCTATGGGTCTGATTTTATACCAGCACTATGCTACGTCGTTACTGTGGCTATGTAGTATGTTTTGAAATCAGGTCTTGTGATGTTTCCATTTTTGCCCTTTTTGCTTAGGATTACTTTGGCTATTAGGGCCTCTTTTTTTTTTTTTAAAGAGAGAGAGAGAGAGAGAGAGAGAGAGAGAGAGAGAGAGAGAGAGAAAATTTTTTAATATTTATTTTTTAGATTTCGGCGGACACAACATCTTTGTTTGTATGTGGTGCCCGGGCCGCACGCATGCCAGGCGAGCACGCTACCGGTAGCTTGAGCCACATCCCCAACCTATTAGGGCCTATAGCCTTCCTTTAAGATTAATAAATAACTTCTTCCATAGTGGAACAGGGGGATAGGGAAGAATGAAGGAATTTTGGCTTGTGTAGAGGGGAAGAAAGGGAGGGGTGGGACTGTGGGGATGGCAAGGATGGTAGAATGAGATAGACATTATTACCTTATATACATGTGTGATTATACTATGGGAGTGACTCTGTACCATGCACAGCCAGAGGAATAAGAGGTTGTGCTCCATTTGTGTACAATATATCAAAATGCATTATACTGTCATTAATAACTAATTAGAACAAATTTTAAAAAATAAATTCCCAGTAGACAGTAAAGAAATAACTTCTTGATATGCAGATGTTTTAGATTTAACTTTAGGAAATGTTAATATTTCATAGTCATATCAGTGTGTTTGCTTTGATGAGTTTAGGGAATCAGATTTAGAATACAAATTTCAATGTTGGAATTACTTAGTTATTTTGAAAAGGTTCTATTTAATGTGTTATAATTTAGAATGGACAGTTTGAAATATGAGTTAGAAAAATGATATAATAAACCACATGTTTTCTTCTTGATATTAGAAAAGGAAATAATTATGGTATCTATTAAACTAGAATAAACCGTATTGATTTAATGGTTAACTAGATAATAATTCAAGGAATTAGAAAGGTGGAGCATGTTGGTTCATGATGATTTTGTATCCTAGATTATGTATAAGAATTTGGAATTCATCATGATGTCTCATGCCTGTGATCCCAGCAACATGGGAGGCTGAGGCAGGAGTATTACAAGTTTGAGGTCAGCCTCATCAATTTAGGGAGAACCTGAGCAATTTAGTAAGACTGTCTCAAAATAAAAAAAAAATCAATTATGTTTAACATCATTTTAACCATTGTTTATTTTATAGTGATACCAAAACAAAATTGAAGTCATTCCTATTTAATTGATATGGTTTATCCTTACTTTATAAAATTTGTTGATTATCAAATTTAATCCTATTTTGCAAATGATGGAAACCATATTAAACAGTTTTATTTAAATGACCTATCTCAAGAGATAGGTCATCTGTTTATGTAAGCAAAGTTGAGAAGTAAAACTCTGAAATTTTGTAAGCTTATTATTGCAGTTGTCTAAAAATAAACTTTCACAAATTAAGATAAACTGTCTTGTTCATTAAATCATAATTTAATGAACAAAGTTAATTTTCTAAACGTTTATATGCAGGTAAGTAAGCAAGCAAAATGATTGAATAAGAACTCATATGCTTTGTCTTTTTTCTTTTTCCTCCCAATAGGACCAGACATATTATCAATCATTTCAAGTCTCAGAATATGGTGAGTTCCTCAGTTTATTTTGAAGGAAAACAACAACAACAACAACAACAACAACAACACATTAATTACTTTCTACAGAGATAAGAGAAATTGTCAAGAGATAGGCTACTTAAAGTAAAAATTCCAGTGGAGATAAAATTCTGGTGTTCCTTATAGGCCTAAACAAGTATTTTCCTTTATAAAGTTCTAAAATCTCACTAAAAGAATAAAGTAGGAAAAAATATTACCTAAATTCTCATTATGCTAGTCTTTTCCTTTTATATAGTTTTTCTATTTGTTGTGACCATAAAATATTTAAAATTTTTTGAGTTTTTAAAAGTCGAAACATTGGGGTTAGTCGTGTGTAGTGCAGTGATTCATGCCTCTAATCCTAGCAACTCAGGAAACTGAAGTAGGAGGATCCCAAGTTCAAGGTTGGCCTCAGCAACTTGGTAAGGCTTGTCTCAAAATAGGAAAAAAAAAAAAAAAGAACTGGGAATGTGGCTTGGTGGTAAGGCACCGCTGGTACCAAAAAGCAAAAAAAAAAAAAAAGAAAAGAAAAGAAAAGAAAAACATTGGGGTTCAGTGGTAGAGCATGCAAAAGGCCCTGGGTTTCATCATCACACCACAAAATCAAATTTAAAAAAACTCTCATCTTACTGTCAATTATTTTCCACATTTTATTTGGTTAACATTGCTGAAGACCACCTATTTAACTCGGGTTAATCATATTCTTATAAGTGCAGCACTTATAATATTGTGTTAAAAACAGATGGAAACTGTGGATTCAGCTAGTTGGTTTATGAATGGAGGAGAGATGAAGGTGAAAGCATGGGGTTTCCATCTTAGTTTGTATATTGAGTTTTTTCATTTAATTTGTGCCACTTTTTGAGACTGTGTTTCATTCAGGCAGCTGAAATTCTGGAAGTAGTGTGCTTATCCCTTTGTGGCTCAGTCTTAGGATCTCAGCACACACTGTTTCTAGGGGGTGGGGTACAGCGTATGATTGCCAACCTATAATGTGTAAGGAGAAGGTATTTGAATTTCCCTTTTGGCCTCCTGTCTTAGACTGGTCCAGGGTACAGGAGGGACTTGGAGCATGAAGAGGGCCTGTAGCATTATTTGAGCTGAAAGTCTTCCCTCATGGGACCCACAGGTCTTTTTGATATTTGTCTTCTGTTAATTGAGTGGTGAGGTACCTTGTTATGAGACTTAGATCTGTCTTTGATCAGTGAAATTATAGAAAAAAAATTTCAGTAGATCAGAAAAAAGCAAACAGTTTTTATTCTGGTGGGGTGCTTTATGCCAAATTGTATTAATTAATACATATTTCATACTTGATTACATAAAGCTGACCTAAGTAAGGATTTCTAATTTGAATAAAATAAAGGGGTATTCATCTGTGTTAATGTGTGTTTGGATTCTAATGATTCTAAGTTTAATAAAAATTATCAATTCTTTCAGAAAATTTTAATTTTTTATTTTGCTCAGCTGAAGATAATGGTAAAACATATTCTTTAAAAGATTGCTTTTTCCCCCCAGTGTTACCAAAATTTGAAGTTGCTTTGCAGACACCATTATATTGTTCTTTGACTTCTAAGAATTTAAATGGTACCATCACCGCAAAGTAAGTATTACTTTTCTTTTGATAAGACTCTCAACCATTATAAAACTGTAAAACAAAAAGCTCATTATATATTCCAGAATATTAGCACTATGCTTTGCTTATCAAAGTATCCTAATGAGTGATAAACAACTATTTATAATAAGTAATCAAGCATGAGACAGGTCTTTATATCCATGTCTCTGTTTCCAAGCCAATCTAGTCCTAAAATATTTCCCCAAACCAAGACTACTTTAAGGATATACATTATAAGTTGCCATATTAAGAAATTATGTATATTTCCTTATTCTGCATTCAGATGATGTAGAGTTGAGGCAACTAACTTAGCTTTTCTTAAATCCTATGCTGTTTTTCTCATTGATAATGGAGGTAGGAGAGGAAGTGGTTGTCTTATTGAAATTGGCAGATATGTGAATAATCAACATTCATTCATTTCACCATATGTACACAGAGACCTTCAATTCACCCTGTCTCACATATGTCTGGTGGCTGTCATGATTTGGACCCCCTAGCTTGAACAGCACAGCATTTTGCATTGCTGAGGCAAAAAGCTTACTCAGAGTTCTAGACTAGTGGTTCAGGCTGGGATGGCCCTCAAGTAATTCAAGGATTGGTCTTTTGTAGCTTTTATTTTTTGATGTGTCTGTATCTGTGCTTCAGCTTCTGAAATTTATTTCTAAGAGCTAAGAAAAACTGGACTCCCCTACTACTGTCTCACCACTGTATCATCACTGGTGAGAATCTATGTCAGTGTAAGCAATGGGCAGTGAATCTCCTGGCAGAAGCACTTCACAATCCAAAATGTTCTAAAAATTCCTGCTTTAAAGTGTGCAACAACAACAACAACAAAATTACATGAAACACACAATACAGAAACAGAATCATGTCTATGATTTATACCAAATTATTATCTGCTTGTGTTCAAGAAACAACGTCCAATATGAATTTGGAGGTTGTGGATGGACTTGTGGTTTGGAAAACACACAAATGCCTGCATTTTACATAATTATTATACTGTACTTGATTTCAGTCAAAGGTTCAGCATCCTGTTTGGGGTTTATTTTGAGTTCTTTGGTAATGTTTTTAAAACTTTGAACAACTCTGGTACAAACCCCAAATATATGTAGATCTGCACAATCCATGTCCACATAGGTTCGATTGAGCCTGGATCTCTTCTTTGATTCTGTTTTTGGTTTCCAGAGGTGTGCCAGAAAATTTAGTAGAAACAGTCAAAACAGTGGTTGTTAAAGTTGGGTAACCTCCAGAAAATTTTACATGTAATTTTAGGGCGCCATGGACCCTCTGAGCTCTCACCACTAATATCCTTACCTCAAGCCCAATAGGGAACCTTATAGTTTCACCACAGTTTGTAATGCTTGAATTTCTAACTAACAGTTGAGAATGACATATTTGTGATAGTCTCCTGGCATTTCTGTAGTGCTCGCTGTATTGCAATCTTAGTATGTGTATAGAAGTTGGCCAGAGAAGTAGAAGCAGTAAGAAACATATAGTAATATATGTTTAGTACAAGAGGATATAGTACAAGAGATAGGCTTAGTGATTGCGGCACTGGTTAGGTAGTGCAAGATCCATAGGGCAGGCTGCCAGGAATGGAGGATGAGGTTATAATTCTCAGGCAGAGGCCTAAGTTGCTTCCACAGGCAGAATTTAGGGAAATCCTAGCGCTGCTTTTAAGATCTGTGAATTGATTGAATCAGGCCCACTCAGATATCTAGGAAAATCTCTTTTACTTAGAGTGAACCAATTATGAATTCTAACAACATATATAAAATACCATTACCTCAATACCTAGATTAGTGTTTGATTTTGTAATAGGATGATCTAGCATGGTGAAGTTGACACACCTACAGGACCATCACAGTGTGCTTGGTATTTCAGGTGTGGATAGTGAGCCTCTTTGCTGCTTTCAGACCTGGCTAGCTCTGATGAAGGTCTATTCTGTACTTCCTTTCTATTAACATCTCCTTCAGGCTTCAGTTGCCTGGAGGTGATGTCCATGGGGGTGACAGATAGTTCTATTCCAGAGCAGTGCAAGTAAGAAGAATTGCAACTAACATGGCCTAAACCCTTCCCATTCCATGCCAAGGCCTGTGAATAAATCATGAACATTCCTTCTATACCAAAGTAGAGTGCTGGGCCTACCAGTGAATTTCAGAAGAGTGTGCTTTTGCCTTTAGGATTGAAAATCGGACTGAGAATGTAGTTTACAACATCGCAGTAGAGTAAGGAAATACTTGAGATTTTTTATCAGGTTTTTGTTTTGATACTTGGGATTGACCCTAAGGGTGCTTAACCATTGAGCTACACCCTCAGCCATTTTTTTTTTTTATTTTTTGAGAGAGGGTCTCACTAAGTTGCTTAGGGACTAAATTGCTGAGGCTGGCCTTGAACTTGTGATCCTCCTGCCTCAGCTTCCCAAATTGCTGGGATTACAGGCATACACCACCATGCCTGCCTTTTTTTTTTTTAAATCAGTTTATAGCTGAGCATACACATACTCTATAAATACTGTGTCCCAGTAGAGGTGGAGATGAGGTGGTTACGATCTCCCTGTCTGTATCTCCATCATCCTGACTGACTGTCAGGATGAAAGCTGCAGCTCTTTTCCTTCTAAAGGCTAATTCTTCCACTTGTTCCTTGTCAGGCTGCTATCAGGAGAGTTCCAATCCCACTTCCTCTTCCTGAGTCGGGACTTTTCCATTCAGTATCTTTAACCTTTTGTTCTTTAGAGGCATCTTCACTCTTAATCATTTCTATCATTAAAGAAACAAACCCTCCCCTGTCCTTCCATCCAGGGCCCTATCTCTGGCTTCTTAACAGCCAGTCACAGATGCATTTTCCACTTCTTCACATTCCATTTATTCCTCAACCACCTACAATCAGTCAGAATTGCTTTCACCATGATCACAAAGACCTCCTTCCTGCTCAGTCTCATGGGCACATTTTTTAAAAATATTTTTTCCCCTTTTGTAGCATTTGGCATTGCTATCCACTCTAATTTCCTTTCTGGGTTTGCTCCTTGCCTTTAACTACTCCTTTAAGACTCTTTGCAGTCTCTTCTTTCCTGGCCATCTTTGAAAAGTTCTTGTTCCTCAAAGTTCCATCTTTGGCACTCTTCTTTCTGTACACGTTTATTTCATTTCCTTCCCCATGGCTTGGGATTTTGCTATGGTGTATAATTTGACAACTCTTAAATCCTTGTCTCCAGCCCCAATATCTGTCTTGAGGTTTAGACCCTCATATCTTGCTGTACACTACACATCTCCCCTCAGGTATCTTATAGGCTCTTAACTAAGCATATCACCTCTCTGAAACCTGATGCTTCTTTTGTGACACCCCTCCTGCCATCTTGGTGGACTGAACCATCATTGGTTTAGCTGCTCCAGTCAGCCACGCTCTTCCTTCTCTTTTAACAATTCCCATATCCAATCAACAACCAGTGCTGTTGATCCTGTCTCCTTAATATCTCTCAAATCCATCCACTTTTCTCCACGGCTACTTCCTTGATTCAGACCTACATTATCTCTTCTTAATTACTGTTGCAGTTTCCATTAAATGTATTTCCTGACACCATGCAGCCCCTTCTCCTCTCTCTCAAACTCTACTCCCCAAATTTTACTTGTGCTTTCAAGAAGGAAAAATGCTTTCTATGATCTTTATTTAGGTAATTTCAAGGCGTGGCTACTCCCCCTGACCCTCTTTCATCACAGAACTAGTTGTACAGCTTTGCTGTTTGCTGGTTCACTTGTTTGAAAATGAGTCTGTCTTACTACTGCACCTTGGTGCTTAGTACATGTCAGCTATGGAATAGGCATCCAGTAAATACTGCTGAAAGAACATTGGATGAACAACACAGCTCCTAAGATTTCAGTTCCAAGCTGTATGTAGCACAGCCAAGGTCTTCGTACCAAATTTAAAGGTTGTGATTTGGAGTGAACCAGATTGAGTTGTATGGGCAATAGATTTGGTCTTATCAAATTAGGGAGTAGAGAGTAGAACCCGAAATCAAGTTCCTCAGGTGTATTTTGAAAGATGGGTTCTGTTGTCTTACTTTTCATGTAGTTGTTTTTAAATTTTAGAAATGGTCTTGCAAATAAATATTTTATAATAGCTGTCATAGTCATCTCTAAGGGTGCATGATAAGAAATTTAGGTTACTCTTTTTTGCAAGTAGACATCTGTTCCATCAAGGTTATTTTAAATGTACAGGGCATTGCTAGAAATTTCTTGGAGAAGGTTAAAAGGTTCTATTTGGTACAATACCCTATGTGCATATATTACTTCATGATTGGTGTGATCCTATATCACATACAACCAGAAGAATGATAAGTTATTCTCCATTTATGTATGATGTGTCAAAATGCATTATACCATCATATATAACTAATTAGAATGAATTAAAAAGATTTCATTTGGTTTTGAGATCTTTAAATGAGGTGACTAAAAAAATAAAAGTTTTTAGTGTATTTGTCTGTTACCTTTGATGTGAATATCTGCTTATTAACTACCTCATTAAAAATAAATAATAGATTCTTTCTTCCTAACCACAATGAGCTTTAGAGGATTCTAAATCAAATAACACAGCATATATCTAGTTTGCTCCTACAACTCCTGGGAACAGTAGAATTAAAATAGATTATTTAATCTAAGGTTTATTAAAATGTATTTATTTGATGAATTAAGACATTTGTATCTTGGAAATAACATGAAGGAAAAAAAGGTAGGTGGAGAGAAACATGAATTATAGGGTTCATTTTTTAAGGTGTTATTTTATAAATTTTTGTACTATGGATGTTTTTAGAAAAAAAATTCTTGTCTTCTTAATGATACTATCCCAGAATATCTTTGATTTGCTTTGTCAAATGTTGTCAAGTTATTTTATAATAATTAAGGTATTCTAAATACGTTCAGATTTTATTTAGGATACTAATTTTCAGTATTCCTGTTTCACAGTGATTATTATCAGCTTGGTAGAAAGCTAAGTCAGCCTCACATTCGAGCCAAAATTAAAAATTTGCATCTGAGAGTAAATTATTATTTAAAAACTCTACTAGCATGTGATACAGCTCTTTTAAAATACAATATGCTGGTATTATAGCTTTGCTTTTATTTAATCTTTAACAAGATACAAACAATGTTAGGTTTGGAAGACTTTAGAGTAAGTGATTTTGATGCTAAGGTTTCTAACGTGGGTTTCTACTACCTTTACTATTTTTGTTTGGAAGGGTGATACACTGAAGATTGAAAAATTTTTTTTTGAGATTTGCAATGTTTGCTTTTGAGCTGAGTTGACCCGGATGAGGGGCTATTTCTGTGTCTAATCACTGGATTGTATAGTAAACTATATACAATTTATAGAATTCAAAGCAAAATTATTTTTACATTTGGCCTCGCATTTCATAATAGAGATGGAAGAAATCTAGAAAACACATTTTAAAAAGACTTCCTGGCAGTAAAATGATTCATCAGAGTGCCTCTCCTTTGCATGAGGAGAATTTCCCATGATGAGAGTGGATACTAATAATACATAGACTGCTAACATCAGAGAAGGAGATTTGATTCAAGAAGATAAGTTTGATACTATAGATTTTAAAAATCACTATTTTTGATTTTTCTTGCAAAAAATAATTTTTGGCAGCTGTGAGTTCATTCAGTGCTTCAGAATCTAAGATCAAATAATCCCTCCTGACTAATATTGGAACATGCAGTCATTGGCCATGGTGATTGCAAGTTCAACTGACATTTAAAAATCTTCAAATTGGGTGTGGTTCATACTTGTAATCCCAGCTACTCAGGAGGCTGAGGGAGGAGAATTGAAAGTTTGAGGCCAGCTGGAGCTATCCTGTCTCAAAATAAAATAAAAATAGTAGAAGATGTAGTTCAGTGGTAGAGCATTTGACTCGCATGTGGGAAGCCCTGGGTTAGTTTTTAAAAATTTGCTGTAGGAGCATGTATTTAATATAATTCTTCTATATTAGATTGCTAGTGTATGCTATTGAAAGTAATATTTTTTATTTTGTTCTTCTGATAATGTTAAGTTTTTTTGGAAAACAAAAAACCCTGTTTATTGTTTTTCAGGTATACATATGGGAAGCCAGTGAAAGGAGATGTAGTGCTTACATTTTTACCTCTATCTTTTTGGGGAGAAAAGAAAAATATTACAAAAAAATTTAAGGTAATTTTTTTCAGTTTATAACTCGTGATGGGAAAATATGTGTATTTTTCCTAAAAATAAGATTTTGTACTAAATTAGCAAAAAAATTGAATGTAAGAAAATCAAGAACTTTGTGGCATTGGAAAAGTGAGAATTTACCCACTTACAACACTGATTAATATGGAGCCGTTGTGGTGTTGTGACTTAGTTTGAGTTTTATTTGAATTGCTAAAGTGAGAATAAAACTGAACTTTTAAACAAAACAGATAAATGGATCTGCAAACTTCTCTTTTAATGATGAAGAGATAAAAAAGGTGATGGACTTTTCAGATGGACATTCTGAACACTCGGATCTCTCTACTCCTGGGCCAATAGAAATTCTAGCCACAGTGACAGAATCACTTACAGGTTTGTGGACATTGACTTGAAGGTAAAGCTACTTGTGTGTTGCTGCTCTGAAATCTCTTTTTATAACTTGCACTTTCACTTGGGGGCATTAGTTGCTTTTTAAAAGATGCTATTTAATGTTGAAGTTTTCAAGACTATAACTTGTGAGATGTTTTCATAATAGGAGTGAAACTTATTTTCTGTGAAAGTTTGTGCTTCAATCACATGTGATAGCTATTTGCATTTTTCAATTTTTAGTCTCTTTTTAGCTTGAAAACCACCCAGAAAGGCCTACATTTTCAGCTATTATTTCTTCTTCCTCTTTCTTCTCCTTCTTTTTTTTTTTTTTTAGTTGTTGATAGACCTTTATTTTATTTATTTATATTCGATGCTGAGAATCAAACTCAGAGCCTCACACATGCAAGGCAAATGTGCTACCGCTAAGCCACAACCCCAGTCACCTTCTCCTTTTTTTAAAATTACTTAACATAATCTGAAATCTCACCTGGTTCTAGATGATTTTCTCCTTTAATTAAAAAAATGTTAGTTATTTGTACATTTCTGTTGTTATTTCAACAACTTTAACCAATCACTGGAAGAGCAAAAGACTATTCTGTCACTGGCCCTAATCTGCTTTTGTGTGTCTATGTCACTGAGGGAGGATGATGGTAGTAGTGTTTAATTAAAAGCAGTCCACAGAGAACATAATAGACCATGTGGTTCTCTTATTGTGTGTTAAGCCAGTATAGAAATGAGGCTTATGTGTCCTGATATCTTCAGCCTCTTTTACAAGTAGCTTAGATGGAAAGATTTGGTGGATAGAAGCTGTTGGTGAATTATTTCTTTTTCATTCTAAATGATGCAATTTCCAAAATAGGCATCTCAAGAAATGCAAGCTCCAATGTGTTTTTCAAGCAACATGATTACATCATTGAATTTTTTGATTATCCTACTGTCTTGAAGCCAACTCTGAACTTCACAGCCACTGTAAGTTGGTATATTTATTACTAGTCCATAGCAGCAGTAAGTTCAGTTGAATGAAACAGAATGGGAAAGAGTATACTCAGTGTTTCTTCAAAAATTTTAGTCAAAAATTCGATATATTACCTTTTCTCTTTAGATATGTGAGGTATGTAGAATTGTTTCTAAGTGATCTGGGCCTACTTTTTCTAAAAGAGTCATTTCTAACAACAACAAAATATCTTCCTAGAGATTTATTTAGCAAACAGTTTAAGTTAGATTTGTTACATTGAAGCTTTTATTAATTGAAGGGATTTGATAGTGATCAAAATTTTAATTTAAATCCCTTTTCTTTCTTTCTTTCTTTTTTTTTTTTTGGTACTGGGGAATTGAACTCAGGGGAACTCGACCACTGAGCCACATCCCTAGCCCTGTTTCCCTATTTTGTATTTTGTTTAGAGATAAGGTCTCACTGGGTTGCACCTCACCTTAGAACTCAATCCTCTTCTCTCATCCTCCCAAGCCATTGGGATTACAAGTGTGTGCCACCACACCGGGCTTAAATCTGATTTTTATAATGCTAATTTTATTTCTAGAAAAGATACAGCTTTAAAATTTAACATCAAATCTCTTTTTTAAAAAAAAAATGTTGAATTAACACTTGTTGCTTTAATACATTTTGACAGAGTGCAAGGTGTGGTGCAAGGCAGGGCTTATGGAGCTAAGAAAGACCCAGTGCTACCTAGTTCAAGGTTTTTCTGATGGTGACAAGAAAATATGCACAGAACTATAATTCAAGGAAGTATAAGATTCAGTCATGAGTTAGTTTCTGTAGGGATTTAAAGCAAGTGTTGCAAACTTTTACTGTAGAGATTAGATAGTAAATATTTTTAGCTTTCTGGGCCATATGGTCTTTGTCACATCTACTCAACTCTGTCATTGTAATATGTAAGTAGCCACAGCCGATTTGTAAACAAATGAGAGTGACTATAGTCTAGTAAAACTATATTTACAAAAATACTGGATAGGCATGCCTGCTTTCCAGTTAGCTAACTCTTGTTTAAAAGAAAGGAGGGGCTGATCCTTGTTGAATGTGTGAAGAGAAGTTTTAGATAGCTATTGATTTCAGTTATCTCAATAATTTAGACAATTTGAAAGATAAAAATCACAAGGCTGCTGACATTTGTTTCCAGATGAGGGAAACAATGGAGTTCAGGAAGGAAGGTTTGGGTTTGGGTTAGGAATGGGGGTTAAGGAATACTATATGGAAGAGGAAGTTCTGAACGCTTTGTTAAAGATTAGTAGAGTTTTAAGTGTTTGGGCATGGGGGTGGGAGGTGGGGAGCAAGATGAGTTGAGACAAAAAACAAACAAACAATAGTGAGAGGCTGGTTGGCAAATTCGGAGGTATTCAGAAGACAGTGATTGGACAATTGCAGTCCCAGCTGAGCATTGTTTCTGGGAGTGATAAAACTAGAGGATCCTGAATGTCTCCCATATGGATTTGAACTTTATACCCTAGGGATATGGCGGAAACTGTTTGAGTAGGACTGTTGGGGTTATGTGCTGGAGGATGGAAGCAGCCTCGGTGTGGGGCGATGGGGAGCCTCGTGGTGGTGGCTGGGAGAGTGGCAGGTAGATTCAGAGAAATATATGACTTGGTGTTCTTTGGATTTTGGAGGTAGGCTGAGGGAGGGAACATTCGGAAAGTAAGTTTTGAAGAATTGGGGTATCAATGAAAAAAGCAAGGCAAGATGGTTGTTCTGTGTTAGACATGCTGAGTTCCTGGTGACTGGTAGCCAAGTGAAAATTTCTTGGAGGGAATTGGAGGTATTTTGTTGTGAGATGCAGTGCAAGGTAAAAACAGGGTTTTTGAATTTGCCGTATAATCCCAAGGAAACAACAAGCTAAGACCTAGGAACACTGAGACCTTTGAGGAAGAGTTTACTGATTATTTGGCCTTGACAAATTCCCATATTTTGTGAGAGGAAAGGGGAACCATAAAGGACACTGAGAGGGTGCACAAGGAGAGGTATGAAATGAAGGAGACTGTTGTGGAGCCATGGAAGTCAAGGAAGCCATAATGTTAAGAAAGCAGGATCGTGGGCCTCTAGATGCCTCCTACAGAGAGGCCAATGAATCTGAAGATGAGAGTGCCATCAATAACTGTTGAGACTTAGTGTCTTGGGATATTACAGATGGAAACTGCAGCCAGCTGAACTTAAATCATTTTTTAAAAAAATTACCTATTTTAAAAATATCTTGTTTTGACAATTAGGTGAAGGTAAGCCGTTCTGATGGCAACCAACTGACTCTTGAAGAAAGAAGAAATAATGTAGTCATAACAGTGACACAGAGAAACAAAACCGATTTCTGGAGCAGACAGAACCGTGGCAATCAGGACATGGACACTGTCCAGATCATGAATTATACGGTCCCCCAAAATGGAATCTTTAAGATTGAATTCCCAATCCTGGACAACTCCAGTGAGCTACAGCTGAAGGTGACCTCTGTTTCCCACAATTATGGTTCCGGGACACCATCATCTCAATTGTAACTGTGTAGATACTCAACCTATCAGAGCTCAAAGTGCAAAGGAAGTGGACATGTTTTTGTTTTTTAAAGTGGGAGAAAGTGTTAGAAATAATTTGATGACAGTGACTAAGGATTGGCCTGAATGTTTCCTTGTAAGTTCATTTTTAAGAGCAGAGTAAAATATAACAATGTGAAGATATGATGGAGAAGCTCCACAAAACCAGGGTCTAGGTTGATTTTTAGTCATTTGAAATTTTATTTTCAGTGTGTGATACACATCTGTAATGGCAGTTACTCAGGAGGCAGAGGGAGGAGGATCACAAGTTGGAGGACAGCCTGGGTAACTTAGAGAGCCATATAAAAATATAACATAGGAAAGAGGTAGGGATATAGCTCAGCAGTAGAGCAATTGCCTAGCATGAGTGAGGCCGTAATTAAACATGGGTTTAATCCCTAGTACTGAAAAATAAAAATAAAAGTGAATTTATTTTAGCAGGAAATGGAATCAAAGAGGATTATGTATTTGTAAAACCTTTGCTGAGCTTTCTTTCCCAGAGTGGTTTGAGAATCCTCAGCCATCCCTGTTGCCTGCCTTCTGATTACTCTGTCCTGCTCCATTCAGGGCCCTGGCTGAGCAGGGTGCTCCACAGATGTGGCTTCTTTGATTTTCACTCTGAACCTTGGTGGATTGAGTGAGGTGTTTGTGAGCTGTGTGTTGTGGAAAAGGAAAGGGTTCCTTTTCTATTTCATTATCAGAATGTTTCTTGATAAAATAAATTTTGTTTCTGAAAAAGAGCTGTGACACCCCCCACCCCAGCCCAGGTTATTATAGTAAAGACTCTGTGTTTTTCAAATTGGCAGATTCTTGATGGTATAGCTATAAAATGATGAAGATGAGTATCTGGTAAATGTATTTTTACTGCTCAAAAAAAAAGAAAGTGAATTTGGCTTTTAGTAATTATTCATCAGACAGCATCTTTTCTCAAGGTTACTCAAGGTGAAAATTTATGGCTTTCTTTGTTTTGCTCTAGGCTTATTTTCTTGCTAGTGTAAGTAGCATGGCAGTTCATGGCATGTTTACATCTCCCAGTAAGACATACATCCAGCTAAAAGCAAGAGATGAAAATATAAAGGTAATATGTATAATTTACCTGATAATTACAGTACAATTGGACTCTCTTGCCATTGATATGTGCATATTAACTGAGTTTTTTTTTTTTTTTTTAAGGTGGGATCACCTTTTGAATTGGTGGTCAATGGCAACAAGCAATTGAAGGAATTTAGCTATATGGTAATTTAAATTTATGATTTATGAATTTAAATTTATGATTTATTATATAATTATTATAATTATATATATTATATTATTATAATTTATGATTTATTATATAATTATCTTAAGTGGTATCTATATTATGTCTACACTGAATTTATTTTAAAATTAGGCTGTCCCTTTTATATTGCAATCAAAATATTTTTAAAAATTTTTTCATCTGTGTTTGCATTTCTAATGTAAAATGGACGATTAATTTTAGCACTGTGTTTAAAATTCACATTTCTATTAGATTAATAATATACATCCTTGGGTAGAAATTTGTAAAATATAAGAGAAAATAAAAATTGGCATGATTGGATTCCACCTCTTGGGTCCCCTTCTTCCTCCAGGAGAAGTCTTTTCTGCTGTCCTTTAATAAACTTCTAATTTCTACTCTGAAAAAAAAAAATTGGCATGATGGCTTTTAATATTTTAAATCCAACTTTCCCAGTGGAGTCCTGTATTTCTCCAATCAAAAATAGATTCTTTACCAAGATGAAGAAATGATAATTGTTTGAGGGGATAGATATGCCAGTTACCTTAATCTGATCATTACATGCTGTATTGAATATCATACCATGACCCACAAGTATGCACAAATGTTTCGTGACAAATAAAAATGAAAAATGCCAATAAATTGAGAATTAAAAATGTTGATTTTTGACTACAAAGCTGTTACTCCAATCAGCATTGTTTTAATCTTCAATTTCTATTTCTTAGGTTATATTATCTGTCAAGTAGGTTTTCTTGTATTTGAAAAGGTGTCAAGACTGGTTTAAGTCAAGATTTATGGATTTGCTTAAAATTATGATAAATATAACTTCAATTGAGCTCCTTACTAGCTTTAGCCAAAAATTAAATTTATCTATTATTTTTTTCAGGTAATATCCAAGGGACAGTTGGTGGCTGTAGGCAAACAAAATACAACAACCTTCTCTTTAATACCAGAAAGTTCTTGGGCACCAAAGGCTTGTATAATTGTGTATTATGTTGAAGATGATGGAGAAATTATAAATGATGTCTTAAAAATTCCTGTTCAGCTTATTTTTAAAAATAAGGTAAGATTTAGATAATAATATTTAAAAGAAAACCTTATATTAGTGAAGTCTGAGACATATACTATTTCTTTAGAAAAGTATCACTAAGCTGAATTGGTTGGGAGGATATATTATTCCCTTTAAAACTATGGTAAAACCTCTTCTGTATTTAATTACTATGTATGTATTTAAAAAATTTTTTTTAGTTGTAGGTGAACATAATGCCTTTATTAAAAAAATTTTTTTTTTTAGTTGTAGTTGGACACAATACCTTTATTTTATTTATTTTTATGTGGTGCTGAGGATCGAACCCAGCATCTCACACAAGTGCTCTACCACTGAGCCACAACCCCAGCGCCCCCATAATGCCTTTATTTTTATGGGTTGCTGAGGATCGAACCCAGTGACTCACCTGTGCTAGGTGAGCACTCTACCACTGAGGCACAACTCCAGCCCCTACATATGTGTTTTTGCATGTGGAATTGTTTGGCTCTATGGGTCTTATTTGTGACACAATGTTCTTGGCTGTAAGACTTCAACTTAAAAACATGAAACCATTCAGAACTTTTCAAATAGTTGAGTTGATGTTGCTCGGTTGTGAAGTTCAGTGGCACCGTAATATTTGTGTGGTTTGACATTGCCATGGAGTGAGGAAGTGAGGCCATCTGCAATGAATTTAAGAAGCAGACCTGGGCTTGGTTTATCTATTACATCAGCTGGAAACTAACCTGGGACAGATTTTTTAATATACTTGGTCACCTTGCACATGAGGACCTGTGTGAAGCCTGGCCTCCAGATGCATCAGTGCTTTTTATAGCCTGAGTAATCAGCTTGTGTAGAAAGCTGCCTTGGCCCCTAACTGAAAAAAAACATGATTGAATCATCTCACATGGATCAGCCATAGTTTACTAAAAATTACTGTCTTTCTAGTCCTCATTGTTTTAAAGCAGTGGTTTACAGAGTATGGTTCTTCCATGCTTTCTTTTGTTGAGATTGTTAACCCTAACTTTGATTATCAGAATATAAACTTCTACTTTTGTCTGATGAAAAGACACGAGATATTTTTCTTTTTTAAGAAAGAAAACACAGGGGTTGGGGGTGTGGCTCAATGGTAGAGCACTCACCTAGCATGTGCGAGGCCCTGGGTTTGATCCTCAGCACCACATAAAAACAAATAAATAAAATAAAGGTATTGTGTCCAACTACATATTAAAAATTGTTAAAAAAAGAGGTTGTGGCTGGGGCTCATGGCAGAGTGCTTGCCTAGCACATATGAGGCACTGAGTTAGATTCTTAGCACTGCATACAAAATGAGCACATTAAAAAAAAGTCATGCAACTACAAAAAAAAAAAAAAAAAAGAAAAGACTATATTTTGTTAACTTCAGAGCCCAATTTTTACTTCTAGTAATAGTAGTCACTTGACAAAAATGAATTTTAAAGTAGGAGTCATGGAGGCTTAACCAAGGAGACACATTTCTGAAAGTGAGATCGAGCTCTAAAAGTAGTAACAGTGTACAGGATCATGGACGTTGAGGAAGCAGAGTGTATTGATAGCATATTTCAAGAAATTTCTTAGACATATGGGATAGGAAATTAGTTTCAGTTCCATTTGCAAAGATATATCTTAAACTTTTATGCAACAATTATTGCACTATGCAGAAACTGCATGAATCATAATAGAAAGTGTTTAGGAGAAAATTTGTGAATCTTTGTTGATGTTCAACGATGACAATGGAATGAATGAATGAGATACAGAAAGGGATAAGAAGATGTAGGTTTAGAAATTATCCACATAGAAGTGTAAGTTGAAGCCATGGGGTGTCTGAGGTTCAGAGAATAGAGTGAACTACAAGGTCTAAGACAGCTTAGAATACACTACTTCCCACCCTATAACCCCTCTCTCTTTTAGAGTGTAGGTGAAGAAAGTAAACTAGATATGATGGCTTGAGGAGTGTATTGCACCAGATCAGATAGGCAGGAGGGGAATACTTTAACTCAAGACTCTACAGTGGACTAGAGATTGAATTCAAGTCTATTGAAATAAAACGCAGGAGAGTGTTAAAGCATTGGGTGAATTAAAATAAAAGTACTGGAGGTTGTTGTGGGGATATTGGTAAGTGTTTAGACCCTCAGTTTTTGCTAATCGGTAGTTATTGAAGTTGGCTCCCACTTTCCCATTTAGACTAAGAAAATAGCTGGGACTCTGCCTTTCTTTATGATTACACTTTGAGAGGATGGCTCCCACCAGGATATTTACATTTTAAAGAGTCAGAGAAAGACTTTGAATTGCCAGTTGTCTAAAGCAAATGTTCTAAGGAAAGGAATGTTGGGGGCTACAGTCAGGAAGAAGCCTATCCAAAGTTTAATGAAGCCTAGGGTGGCATTAAGGCCACCTTGGACAGATGGTGCCATCATTGATACAGGGGAATGTAGAGATGCTAGATGAAATGAGAGTCCCCAGTGGGAAGGGGCCTCATGACAAAGCCCTTCTGTTCAGCAGTCATGCAATGACTGACAGTTTCTAAGAAGTAGTAGGACCACATTTCGTTGTGTATAATGACAAGAAGTTCAGGTAGCCATGGAGACATAGGACACAAAGGTCTTGGACAGAACCCCCATATCTCACAGCCCAGCTAGTTCTGTGAGTCCTCTGGGAGCTCTCTGTGTTTATTCCCAAGTCCAGGTCACCTACACATAGGTACTTTAGGTTTCTTTCCTCTTTTGTGTGCCCCTCTAGGATGTTGTCCTTTCCAGGTGTAGTAGACACTGCTGTCTTATGTCAAGCATTGGCTGGGGGATGAAGAATGGGAGAGGGAGAGAGACAGGGAAGAGAGATGGGAAGGATAATTCAGATTTATAACCACTGTGAGAAGTTGACTTGCAAGTATGAGGGAATAGTTTTTTTTTTTCTTTTTGTTATTTTCTTATGTATGGTTTTAGAATTATCCCTGGACCAAGGCAAATAAAGAAATTTTTAGATTTTGAGTCGTTGATCTGTTATTGGTAGAGTATGTAAGTAATGATTTTTAAAAAGTGAAATCAATCAATCCTATTTTATCCCTTTCTTAGATAAAGCTGTTTTGGAGCAAAGCTAATGCTGAGCCTTCTGAGAAAGTCTCTCTCAGGGTCTCTGTAACACAGCCGGACTCAGTAGTTGGGATTGTAGCTGTTGACAAAAGTGTGAATCTGATGAATGCCTCAAATGATATTACAATGGAAAATGTGAGTGTAGCTTTTTTAAAATTATACACTTTTTTTCTTTTTTAAAAAATTTGTTCTTTTTAGCTATATATGACAGAGTGTATTTTGACACATTATACATTCTAATTAGGATCCCAACTTGTGGTTGTACATGATGTGGAGTTTCACTGGTGGTATATTCATATATGAACATAGGAAAGTGATGTCCGATTCATTTACTGTCTTTCCTGTTCCCATTCCTCCCCTTCCCTTCATTCTCATATCCTTTTTGTCTCCATGGCATTTCCTTCTCCTCCTCTACCCTGACCAGATGATGGTGTCGTTTAATTCTGCATTATTATGGATTGCCCTCTATGTTCTTTTTTTTCAGTTTTTAATTCTGCAAATTTGTATTCACTCTTTTTTTCTTCCCATTTTATTTTTTATCTCTTTCTGGGACTCCTATTATTCAGAAATTTGGCATTTCTACTTTTATCCTTTGTATCTCTCCATTTTTTGTTTCATGTTTTCTGTCTCTTTTTCTGTAGTTCTCTGAGAGTTCTTCCATTGATTCTTACAGCTCTGAGATTATTTATCACCTTGTCTATCTTACTTTGATAAATTTTATTTTTTCCTTTATGCTGGCTGTGATTTTCATTTTTGTTCTTAATTTATTTTTATTTTGTTAGCTGTTATATTTTTAGTACCTGATTTTCATTTCATATATTTTTAGTACCTTTTTTCTTTTTCTTGGTAACAGGGATTGAGCCCAGAGGTGATTAACTACTGAGCAACGTCCCAGCCCCTTTTTGTACATTATTTAGAGACAGGGTCTCACTGAGTTGCTTAGGGCCTCACTAAGTTGCTGAGTCTGGCTTTGAATTTGTGATTTTCCTGCCTCAGCCTCCATAGCCATTGGGATTATAGGTGTGTGCCACTGCACCTGGCTTTTTCCTTTTTCATATTGCTAATATTTCTCTTATATCTCTTTATACATGTTTACTAGGCTTATTTTAAATTCTTGAGTTGATTTTTTCAACAATTATGCTTCACATGCCATATGTTGTCCAGTTGGATATTTTTCTTTGGTAGTTATAACCTTTGGGTGTCTCTCTCCTCTGATAACATCTATTGGGGGAAAACTGAATACCAGGCTCCAATTTTTGGTGTAGGTCCTGAGATTTTAAAGATAAAGAATGGGTTGAAACTCATTACTCTTGTTCCTTTATTTTTGCTGCGTGCTTCTATTCAGAGTTTAACTTAAACTCTTAGGGAAATGAAGCACTAGGAAGAGATTATGATCCAAGCCCTGAGGGTTTGGAAGAGTTGGGGAGGAGGGTCTGGCCATGTTTTTCTCACATCAGAAATGCCCACCTGCTATTATCTTTGGGGCATCTATAAGGGCAGTTAGCTGTTGATCTTGACAGGGAAATTGAAAAGAATGATTTTCCTGATGATATCTCCTGGAAAGAAGCAACAGCAGAATTATAAAAACTTTCCTCCATCCTGTCTCCTAGTTACCCTTTAGTTATCTTCTGCCTCAGACTGAAGCCATTTGCTTCCTTCCAACACCAGTTCAAGATATCCTCCACTCTTTTGGGGATTTTCGTATCTCACTCATCCAAATTTTCTGTTTGCTTTTATTATTTCTCCAGAGTTGACTCTGAAGGTGGGAGTTAGGAGCCTGTGATACCAGTCTGTCCTGGTTTCCCTGTTTCTTGTTGAGTGTTTAGAGTAACTTCAATTGTACTAGATCTTCCAGGAACAATTCTTAGGCATTAGCCTTCCCATTGTTAGCTTGTGCTGCAGCTTTGCAGTGCTTTTTATTGAGGCAGTGAGAAAAGGAGGATTGCTTTATGAGATACATGCTGATTCTTGATTAGTTAACATCTGTTCCTACTTGAGTGAGAGCAAAAGCAGATCTTCAAGTATTTGTATTTTGTGGCAGAGCTAGAGTCATGAAATTAAAACCTTTTATCTCATTATGTCTGACTCTGGCTCCGTTGTCTATAGTTGGCCTAACTACATTTGCTAGCTTTTTGAGACAAGATGAAACTTTTTGTTTTCTCATTTGATTGTTTTCTTATTGGTGCCTGTTATGGTTTGGATTCAAAGTGTCCCCTAAATGTTACTGTGTTAATGTAGGAATGTTCAGAGGTGAAAAAATTAGGTTATGAGAGTTGTGACCCAGTAACTTAATGGGTTAATACTTTGAAAGGATTACCATCCTAGGTGGTAACTGTAGCCAGGTGGGTCATGGCTGGAAGAGGTGGGTCACTAGGGGCATGCATTGGGGGTTATAGCTTGTCCTCCTGAATCCTCCTTCTCTCCCTCTTTGCTTCCTGGCCACCATGTCTTAAGCTGCATTCTTCTGCCATGCTCTTCCCCATGATGCTTTGCTTCACCTTTGGCCCACAGCAATGAAGTCGGCTGACCACGGACTGAACCTCTGAAACTGTGAGCTCAGAATAAACTTTTTCTCCTCTAAATTGTTCTTGTCAGGCATTTCAGTCACAGACACAAAAAACTAACACAGTGCCAGATCATCATGTTTGCTTAATGTGGATGTAACCATGGTTATTAGCTGAAACAGAGGTTGCAAGTGTTTAACTCTATCCTAGAATGAGTTTTTTCAACTTAGATTCTTTCATGGTTTTTACCTTTATCTCAGTTTGTCTTGGTCAATGCTAACGTAAATAGGGAGAAGTATCAAAACTGACCTAAAAATGTATAATACTTTAATTTTGTTATTATAGTAAAACATGTATACCATAAAATTTGCCACTTTTACCATTTTAACGTACAATTCAGTGGCATTAATTTCTTTGCAAAGTTGTATAACCACATTAGTATTTCCAAAACTTTCATTGCTCCAGAGATGCTGTAAAATTCAGGCAGTAATTCCCCATTTTCCCCTGGCCCTGACCCCTGGCAACCTCTAATCCACTTCTGTCTCTTATGAATTTGATTGGTTTACCTATTTATTTATTCTAGACATTTACTTATTACTTCTACCTTTTGGCCATTGTGAGTAATGCTGTAATGAACATTGTATAGAAGTATCCCTGAGTGTTTGCTTTTGGTTCTTTTTAGTATGCATCTACGAGTGGAACTGCTGAGTCATATTCTAAATTACATATTTAACTTTTTGAGGAAAAAGAATGAGAGTTTTCCTCACTCTTTTAGCCTATTTATCTATTCTTGTTAGCAATGAGTACTATTCTATTCTTAAAAAATAATAATATTTCTAATGTTATTATTATTGGTATAATTTGGAAATATTATCTTATTGGTATAATTTGTATTGTTTTGATCATCAATGAGGTTGAATATTTTTTCTTCCTATTAATAATTTATATTTCCTCTTTTCTGAATTGTCTGCTTAGGTTATTGAAAAAATTAGGTAAATGATATTTTATAGATATATTAATTGCCATCCAGTTTAAATATCTCTGCCAGATAATTTTTAATGCTGACCTTTATATGTTGATCTGTCAAACAGTGACATTTAAGTTCCTTCTGGGCAAAACTCAGTTTTGCACTCGAAGGAGTTCTGGATTGCTAAGCAGAATAAAAATAAGTTTATTGAAATTGGTTGGAAGAACTATAATTCCAACCAATTGAATCATGAGCAGAACATTCACATATTCATTACTCCTTGATTTGAATCATTTTCAAGTTTAATAAGCCTGGGGGCTATGACTAATCTAAGTTACTTATAAGAAATAATGTGGAAGACAGAAAGTATTGATATGAAACTAATCATTCTGTGTATTTTATCTTCTTTGTAGGTGGTCCATGACTTGGAACTTTATAACACAGGATATTATTTAGGCATGTTTATGAATTCTTTTGCTGTCTTTAAGGTATGTTCAGTTTTATCTATAATTTGGGGGGCTGGGGATGTAGCTCAGTTGGTAGAGAGCTTGCCTCGCATGCACAAGGCCCTGGGTTCAATCCCCAGCACCTCAAAAGAAAAAAAAAAAGTATTAGATTTGTTCTATAATTTGAAGACCATAGTATCTTTTACTATATCATACACTATCAGAATTAATGATCATTGTGAAATGTTAACCTTTTATTATATGTGTCACTAAAGTGCACTATTACATAAGTATAATTGGAGATGGAAAGATAATCATCCTTTCAGTTTTAAAAGTAAATGGAAAAATTCACCATTAGAGAGAGAAATGGAATTATCACTAAACAAATAGTTTATTTCCTTCATATTACTTTCTTTGACTTTGAAATGGCTGTTCATGCATATAAGAGAGAAAGAGAGAGAGAGAGAGAGAGAGAGAGAGAGAGAAGAGAGAGAGAAACTATGTATCTAAGCTCTCAAGAATGGGCAAGAGTGAATCTAGAGTGTTGGAGACTTCTGTGATTAGAGAACATCTAAATGGTTATTTTAAAAGAAAATTAAAATTATTTTTTCTAGGAATGTGGTCTCTGGGTATTGACGGATGCAAACCTTGTGAAGGATTATGTTGATATTGTTTGTAAGTAAAAACTGGCAGTATGCTTGCAAGATATTTGTCTTTTACATCAGACCTTTAGTATTACTTTATACAGGTATGGATATTTTCTGGTTGAACATGAATATTGTATCTTAAAATGTTTGGAATTTAACATACTTGGAAGTACATCTGGGCCATGACATAAAATGTTCTTCTGAGCTCCTGTCTTTGAAATGTATGCTTTTCATTTGTTTTGTGTAATCCTTTGAGGTGGTTATATTTTGAACATATTGGTTCCAATTTGTATTGAAAGCTGTGCTATTATTTTGGAACTACTTCAAAGGAGAAACACAAATGTTTTGAAACATTTGTGTTTTCTAGCTTTTTGATGTTCACTCAGAAATAGCCCAGATGCCAAAAGTAGATTCTCTCTCTCTCTCACACACACATACACACACACACACACTTCATCCGTGGAGTTGACCACTGAAAAATAAAAAAAGTGTATACTCTTACAAAGAAATCATAAAATATTTTGATTGGAGGAAATGTATACGTAAGGGTGGTTAACTGTAGGAGCTATTCCCTCTTTTTTTTCAGGTAAAATTTACTAATATCATTTTGAAAGTGTTCCAGAACTATCACAGTTCCTCTGTCTGAATTCCCTGTCAGGTGTTCTCAGTTACTCTGCACTCAGCCCCAGGCTATCTGGCTTTCCGTTGGTTCTTGTCACACCTTGTGCCTCTGTTCTGAAACTTAAAAAATATTTCATAGTTTTAAAGATTTATGACTTTTTATGATATTTATTTGTTAAAAACATGTGCTACACTTAATTTTTCTCATACAATTCTCTATCCTACGAGCCTTCCAAGAATCTGTCTTTATCCATTTTCCAGTCTCTGTTTTTATGCATCTTTTTTCATCTCTACTTATCAAATCCTGCCCAACGCCTGCTATAGTCTTTATTTTATTGTCAGCACTAAGGAGGTAGAAAGAGAGGAGTAGAAAAGTTATAAATGGCTTTAAAATGATACTTTTAAATACTTAAAAAAATCAAGTTAAAAATTTAAGCATTTGAACTGTAAGTATTTTTTTATTATATTGGTCATTTGGTACAGGAAACAGTTTAAAAAAATTATTTCTGGCTCTGAGGTCACTGTCCATGTGGTATTTGGTAAATCATTTGACTTCTCTGCCTATCAGATTTCTCATCTGAGAAAATGAGAGGGTTGGACAAGACGGACTAAGATCTCCTGCAGCAGAGAGGGGCTATGAGTCCATGCACCAAGTTTACAATTCATTTTCTCCCATGACTGTTTTTCTAACCACTATCAATATTTGTTTTTAGATGATACTGCGGAGTATGCTGAGATGTTTGTGGAGGAAACCCAGGGGTATCCAGTAGATATTAATGATTTTTCTTCATTTAGCAACCCACGTGTAAGAAAGCATTTTCCAGAGACTTGGATTTGGCTAGACACTGATATGGGGTAAACATTTATAAAGTTCTTTGTTCACACATATTTCACTTAGTATATGTTTTAAATAAGGTTTGCTCTTTTTCTAGAGGGTATAGTACATAGTTGATGAAGAACTAAGTAGACCAAGAGGATTTTGTTTTAGGATGTTCATCAAATCTAACTGTAGTATTTAATAAAGCCACATGGAAATTATGGCAGGAGATTATTAACAAGAAGATGATAGGTCTTTTTATTTTTAATCCCCTAATGAAGTGTGATTTTAACTTTGAAGTCTCATAATTCTCACTGGAGAAAAATTGCTGGACATACATTTGTTGCCATTAGGTGAGAAGCACTAGTGATCACCTCCTGGACCACTGGCAGTGCTGCTACTGATACTCATAAAACATCCTCAGGGGAAGGAGGGACATGGGGGGGTGGAAGGAATTCAGCTTCACTGCTAAACACCGTGCTACCTGATGAGATAAATTGTGTTCTACACAGTAATATATAGATAGCTATTTAGGAATACTCTAAATAATCTCAGAAAAAAATAAATAACAGTATTTATAGGGATATAGAAAAGTAACTCTTCTTCAAACTGAGAAAAAATTGGAGTTTGAAAATATGTATTTATTCTTTATATAAAATTTATGAAACTATAGTGGTAATTCTGAAGATATAAATATTATAGAAAGAATTTATTGGAATTTGAATTAGTATGAAATATTATGACCTCTTTTTTGAGAACTTGGGATCTGCTTTTTTTATGCTAAATGGTTTTAAATTTAGATATATAAGTGATATATAAAATTAAAATTCTTCCAAAAATAGTTGTTGACTTATTTTGAAATATGTCAGCTCTTGGTTTTGTGATTTCTATGTTTGTCTTGATTTCAGATCCAAGATTTACCAGGAATTTGAAGTTACAGTACCTGACTCTATCACTTCTTGGGTGGCTACTGCTTTTGTGATATCCGAAGACTTAGGTCTTGGATTAACGACTGCCCCAGTGGAGGTAACCTATGGATGGGCTGCTTATTACTGTTACAGTACCATGAAGCTAAGGAAGTTCCAGCTACTCAACAGATTTTTAAAAAATGATTGCTTATAATGTTTATCATAGTTTAGAGATTTTTTTGATTTTTCCTTTCTGCTTTTCATCTGTTTTAAATTTTAGAAAGAGAGCTATATTAGAGTGTTAAGTGGTAAGTGTCCATATTAAGATTAGGATAGAAAAGTTTATTATGGATGTGCTCTAACAACTTCCAATGGCCAGAACAGAGAGAGGAGAGAGAATTTCCATGTGTCCTTCATGGATGAGTACAACTTCTCAAGATGTCCCCTAGTAGATATGCTATCACATCTCATTTCTAGTTACTAAGAGGAATAACATGACTATGAATGGCCAAAGACCAATACTTCTTGCTTCTGTTATTCTTTTTCTTTTTAATTCTTTTTAGATGTTAATGGACCTTTATTTTATTCATTTATTTATATGCGGTGCTGAGAATCAAGCCCAGTGCCTCACACATGTGAGGCAAGCACTCTACCACTGAGTTATAACCCCAGCCCCTCACTTCTGTTATTCTTTATAACATATTTATTTTGCCTCTTTAGCATCCCAAAATGAAATTAGGAGAAAGCATAACATACCTATGTATACAATTTCAAAAAAGTTAACATGATGCCTTAAGTGAGATACTAAGAGAAATAAAAATAAAGTAACACATGATAACATGATATATATTTCAATATGTTCATGATCAGGCATTGTTGCACTAAAGATATAGTGAAATTTTAAATGCTTATGCCATGCCTGGAATCACCCTGTGTGCAATACTACAGGCTTGTTTTGATGTACATGTATTATTTCAGCAACTCAAAATCCTTGAGTGGTGCTGCCTGTAAATTTCTGAAATGGTGAACAACTTTTGGTAAAGTTACAAACAAACCAAAATGCATTCTTCTCTTACAAAATAGTTGTATTCAGAAAAATTTAGTGTCGTCATATTTAAATTGGAATTATGTAGTAAGCTTAGGTCATTTTAAATAGGTACTTTAGCTATGTGAATATCTAAAGAAACATTCAAGAGTCCTGAGGAATATGAAACAGTCCTTCATTGTTTGGGTCGGTCCTGAATATTGCAGACCTTCACCCACTAAGTGCCAGTAGCATCCTCCAATCATTATGATGACCTAAGACACCTTCACAGATGTCTAAAGAAACCTCTAGAAGGAGTTACTGTTGCCAGTGTGATCATGGCTTAAACTAAACCTCAGAGGCAGGGGAGGGGCTCAGCCTCCCCTGCAGGACTTAGCCAACATTTTCAGAGTTGGACCACCTGGAGGAAGCACACATGGATGTGTGTGTAGAAGTAAACTGTCACCAGGCCGGCTGTGTTGAGGTTTACCACACTAGTCTAAAACAGAGACTGTTGATTTGGGTAATGGCTTTCAAAACAGATGATGGAGTCAATATAGCATAAAATAAGAGCAACTTGCTTCAGTATTAGACAGCAACTTGCTTCTGGTTTCTCTGCTTGCCTCCAACTTGAGGTTCTACTAGTGACAGATTCCATGAACGTCACTTTGCTATTTAATAGGAGCATAGAGTCTTTATAGATTTATAATGATTAAGTGGAATAATTTGTGAAGTGCCTTATTCCTCTTAGGCATTTAATAAAATGTAGGATTAATTATGTTGAATAACACAAATCAAGACAATTTGATATAATTTATTTGGGAAAAGTTGTTATTTGCCTTCTGTTGGTAGGAAAGCGGACAATTCTAAGAGGACTTGTAAATTTCACAGGCTTTGTGAGGATTGTTTTTAATTGTATATAGTGTGAAGCATTTGACCTGAATAAAAATATATACTCACTGTGTTCTTTCCAGCTACAAGCCTTCCAACCATTTTTCATTTTTTTGAATCTTCCCTACTCTGTTATCAGAGGTGAAGAATTTGCTTTGGAAGTAACCATATTCAATTATTTGAAAGAGGCCACTGAGGTAATGTGTTTAAGGTTTTGTTGCTTGTTTATGTTTCAGGAGAAAACATGTGGATTAGCATGGGTAATGTTTGCACATCTGTGCTTCTAGGCATGCTGTATCTTTCTGGGAGATTAATATGGATGTACTTAGTTAGTTGTTTCTTCTGTAGTAACGTCTAGGGAATCATTAGCAGATTTGTGCATTTCCTCCTTGATTCCCAGCACAGGTTCTCCCCTTCATCCACAGTCCTTCCTTATGGTCTTGGAGGCATGCCTTTCTCTCTCCTGTCTACCCCCCACCCATGTTTCTCCCTGGTCTCCCACATCTAGAATGTGTTGTCACATCTCACTGACGTTCTGTGCCCAGTGCATTTGGCAAATTTATCCCCTTCAGGACTTGGCTTGGAACCAAGATGCCTTTCCTGAGGAATCTAACCTGATCTGCTGTGTTTACAGTCCCCATAGTTATACAGTATATTACACTTTCAAGGATTTATTTTTTGAGTCATGTGCTTTGTGTCTCCTTAGCTAGTCAGTTCCTTGGAAGGCCTGGATGAGGGCCATTGCTTGTACTGTGCCCACAGTAGTGTTAACCAAATGGTTGATATTTTCCCCCAGAGTAATTTGGGATATGCAATTAACTTTATTGTATGGAAAGATTTTTTTTTATTTTTTTGGGTACTGGGGATTGAACCCAGAGGTCTTTAACCACTGAGCCACGTCCCCAGCCCTTTTTAATATTTTATTTATTTAAAGATAGGGTCTTGCTACATTGCTTAGGGCCTTGCTAAGTTGCTAAGGCTGACTTTGAATTTGCAATCCTCTTGCTTCAGCCTTGTGAGCCGCTGGCATTACAGTCATGCGCCACCACGCCTGGCTGGAAATGACATACTTTTAAAAATACTATATCTATAGAATAAAATGTTTAATATTATTATTATAATTACTACTACTACTTTTGGTGCTGAGATTAAACCCAGAGCTTTGTTCATGGTAAGCACACACTCTACTAGTGAGTCTTTAAAATTTTTAATTATATTTTTTTAATGTAGTCAGCATGGTACAGTGTAACAAAAGATTTGCAGTCAGAAGGCTCAATGTCCAGTCTGCCACGTACTAGCAAATAACTTAATTGTAGTTTCCTCATCTATAAAATGGGAATCATAACTATTATCTACACAACAGTATTTTGAAAAGCAGTTGAGAAAATAGATTAGAAAACAATCTGTAAAATGTAAGGCTTAGAGAAATACTATTCTTGATGCGACTAGCAACTTTGGCATAATTTACAAAAGTTTATAACCAAGATACACTTTAGGATTGATTTCTGAGTCACACTTTCCTTGGAATAATTTTCACAGAGATTCTCAATGGATGTAATAGCATCTCATCTTGTTTGTCTCATTGTTTTCTGATGGAACGACACAGTTAAATCAGGCTGCTGGTGGTACCTACATCAGGTTCTGTGTATAGCCTTATCATTCAATGGCTTTGCATAATGACAGAATTTAATGTAAGGGATAGGACTAGAAATGGAGGTGAAGAGTGGCTTTTCCCCAAATATCTTGAGGTAGAAAGGAAAGCATATGAAATGAATGAGGATTTTCCTTTTTATTCTCTCATTGGCTGAATTTTTGCCTCATCTTTCTCTTGTTTTGAGCTGCAAGTTGTAACAGCACTTATGGTGGTGGTAATACACTTTGCTAAAGAGCACTTATTATACAAAACCACAGGTATTTTTTTCTTCCAGGTTAAGGTAATCATTAAGAAAAGTGATGGATATGATATTCTATTGACTAATGAAATCAATGCCACAGGACACCAGCAGACCATTCTGGTTCCCAGTGAGGATGGGGCAACTGTTGTTTTTCCTGTCAGGCCAACACATCTGGGAGAAATTCCTATCACAGTCATGGCTATTTCACCCACTGCTTCTGATGCTATCACCCAGAGGATTTTAGTAAAGGTAAATATTTGGAGTCCAAAATAAATGAAAATATGTATGTGGAATTGGAAAGGACAAAGAAGATGATTTTTCTTTTAGTTAAGTTTGTTGGCAAACATAGTACATCTTTTCCTCAATCCTCCTGATAATGCCCAGTTGTTTTCTCATCTCTATGTAAAAATATAACATATATGCTTAGAAATAATTGCCAGCATACTCTTTAAATTTAATCAGGACAGTGAGTTTCAAGATCACAAAGTCTCTTTTATAGTCATTTACATCTTTAGTCTTTGTTACATTGGGATCCTATTAAATCATGGTCAGATTGATAAGTAGATTTGAAATTTTGGAATTCTCAGTGCCGGTAGAAGATATTCTGTAGACTGTCTTAGAAGACATTCTGCAGAAAAAGACAAGTCAGCATAGCACATGTGCATTTAGATTCTGGGGTGAGAGAGCCCTCATTTTGTATCTCTGCCCTGCTGAATGTGATTTTGGATGAAATATTTACTCCCTCTCTTTCGATAATAAATAGAACCTACCCTATACATTTTTTTTTCTCATCACATTTTACCTTGGTTGTTTCTACCACACTCTGTGAAACTTTTTTCTAATTCAATCAGAAGGTAAACACTTAACAGATTTGAAGTCAGAATTAAGAAATGGTAATTATCTAGCTGTACAGAAACTATGGAACAACAGGCCTGATGTTTGTGTTCATATCTGCATATAGTTCTCTGTAAATAGATGTGCAGAGACCATATTAATTGTGTTCCTTTTTTTTCAATAGGCTGAAGGAATAGAAAAATCATATTCACAGTCCATCCTACTAGACTTGACTGACAACAAACTGCAAACTACCATGAAATCTTTCAGTTTCTCATTTCCTCCTGATACGGTCAGTGGCAGCGAAAGAATTCAGATCACTGCCGTTGGTAAGAATATATTCCCCTCTACTGATTAATTTGTGTATAATAATATATATTATTCATTTATTTATACATGTATTTTCTTATTATGAGAATTTTTAATTGGTCCCAACTGATGATTATATTAGAAAGGTTAGCAAATTATGCATCCTAGAATAGTTCTTCTCAGTCTTATGTGCATATGAATCAACTGGGGATCTTTTTGAAAGCCCTCTTGGTGGGAGCTGGGATGTTACGTTTCTAATCAGCTCCCAGGTATATTATCGTGAAGCTTCTGGCATATCACACCATGAATAGCAAGGTGCTACCCTGCTGTGGTTGGACGAAAGGGTTGTTCCTAAAAGCACAGCTTCTTACCTCTTGACCACTGGGGAGTATCAGAATCTTCTGTGAAGCTTGGTAAAGACACAGATATCTATGCTTTACTCTGAACCAACTATAGTAGAATTTCTTGGGCTATGGGTAAGGCGGGTACAGTGATTGCAATAACCAAGAGATGGAAGCTACTGCCTAGAGCAGTTAGTTCTCTGCAGGACACAGGTTACCTTGAGGATAAGAAACTATGCACTGACTCTAGTTATGTCTCTTAGTAACTTAAGTGCCTTGCAATCTAAAATACTTTAGAATCAAACATAACCTTTGCACTCTGGTGTCTTAGGGTTCTCTAGAGAAACAAAATCTCACATTAATCTCATCCAGAAACACCCTCACCAGGTACACCCAGGAACAATGTTTAGTCAGGGCACACCTGTCCTACTCAAGTTGACACATAAAATTAACTACCACATCTAATAGGTCCTTCTAAATGATATAGATGAATACTCTTATAAATTATATTTTACAAATAACTGTAGAAAATGTATTAATTAAAGACATCTAAATAGTTTGTTAGGCCTTTAAGACACCAGGATGTCAGGCCTTCAGACTTTTTAAAAAATCTTACCTGCAGGTGTAATGTTTGTAAGCACAAAGAACTAATCACAGTTCAGAGGACTTTATTTGAAGCCTGAGATATAATTCTTTAAAAGAATGAAAGAAGTTCTCTGTTTAAGAACATTCTGCCTATGCTTCTCTCACAGTGTTGGTATTCTGGGAGATGCAGAAGAAATACAGTGCAGGTACAGTATACATCTGCATATGCACATATAGAAGAATCCCTGAATTAAAAAAAATATTCCTGTTAGTTGTAGATGGACACAATGCCTTTATTTTATTTTTATGTAGTGATAAGGATTGAACCCAGTGCCTTCCATGCACATGGCAAGCACTCTACCACTAAGCTACAATTCCAGCCCAGAATCCCTGAATTTTAAATGTATACTACCACTCTCTAAATAGGAATGAGTTTGTCCTATCTAGGGTCACAAAAATACTCAGAGGTTTAACTTTTTTTGCTGAATGCAAAGAGTGGATTTTCAAGTCTTATTTTTATATGATTAAAAAAAAACACTTTGAAGTCCAAAATGTATGAATTCTAGCTTGTTACTTTGGATTTTGAAATTGCAAATTTATGTTCATTTTGAATATTAAAAATGTAACTTTTCAGGGGTAATAATAAGAACTGTATTTTTTTTGTGTTAACATCTAAAGCTTAAGACATTTTGGCATGCCTGCATCTTGTTCATATGAAAGAGATCTCTTTTTTTGTATTCATTTTTTTTAGGATAAGATTTTCACTAGTTATTTGAACTTGGCATGGTGTAAGTTTTCAAAGTAAATTACATAGACAAATACTCTTCTTCATACAGCTAACAACAGTAGGGGTCAAAATTAAAAACTCAAGCTGTATCTGAATTTTTACTTATTTCCCAAGGGTGTTTGAATGTGGGTAGAAGAGTCTGTTAAGTATCTGTTTTGTCTTATTTTTAGATTCCTACCTTTGAAGAATATTCCCAATATTTTTTGATTCTAAAGGTCATTGGAAACTTATACTTGTTATTTCTACTTTGTTGCTGCCAAATAGAGGACAGTGAAAAACACTACCACCCCTGTTTTAAGAAATAACATTTGCCAAGCATTTGTATTACGTTAGTAAGAAATAAAAAGTTCTATTCATGTGAAGAATACTAATAATAAAACATTTTGTTCATGTTTAAGAATGATGGGTCCTCATGGTCCATTTCTTACATTTTTATTCAAGATTTAAAGAAGAAATATTTTTTTGCCTAATTTATGTCACTTTTTCATATTTTATTAACATGTTAACTTTATGATTTTATAAGTCACTGTGACATTTCCATACATGCATATATTGTGCACTGATCATGTCCAACCTCCCTTATATATTCTCTCACTCTTTCCTCTCATTTCCCTTCCCCCAGTTCCCTTCTCAGTCTTTAGTAGGTCCTTCTTACTTTCAAGCTTTTTTTTTTTTTAAGTTTCTACATACAAAAGAAAACATGTGATACTGTCTTTCTGTATCTGCCTTATTTTGCTTACATGAAGACCTTACATGTTTATCCATTTTCCTGCAAATGGCATGATGTCATTCTTTATAGCTGAATAATATTCCATTTTTGTGTGTATATGTATCTATATATATCAGTTTCTTTATTCATTCATCTGTTGACATAAATAGGCTGATTCCATATTTTGGCTATTGTGGTAAGTGCTGCAATAAACATGGGTAAGGAGGTATCTCTTCTGTATGCTGACTTCATTTTTTCTGGATATATACTCAGGAGTGGGATAGTTGAATCATATGGAAGTTCTGTTTTTAGTTTTTTTGAGGAATGTCCATATTATTTCCCATAATGGCTGTACTAATTTATATTTCCACTAATGGCATATTAAGGGTTCCTTTTTCTTCATATCCTTGCCATCATTTAGTTTTTTAATTGTTTGTTTACTTTTTGATAATAGCCACTCTAACTGGGGTGAGAATTAATCTCAGTGTACTTCTGACATGCAAATATTGATCATTTCTTTCCATATATTTATTAGCAGTTTCCATTTATTTACTAGTTGCTTGTACTTCTTCTTTCAAGAAGTGGTTATTTAGGTCATTTGCCCATTTACAAATTGGATTACTCATTTTTTTTTTTTTTTGTTCAGTGTTTTGAGCTTTTTTTATATTCAGGATTTTAAAACTCTTTCAGGTGAACAGATGATAATGAGTTTCTCACACTCTGTAGGTTGTCTCTTCACTTTATTGATTGTATACTTAGTAGTGCAGAAGCTTTTAAATTTGATGTTATCCCATATATCATTGTTTCCGGAGTGATTAGAGTCCTATTCAGGAAATCATTGCCTGCAATGGTGTTTCCTCTGTGTTTTCTTCTAGTAGTTTCATAGTTTCAGATCTTTAAGGTCTTTGATTCATTATGAGCTGATATTTGTACAGGGTGAGAAATAATGTGTCAAGTTTCACTATCCTGCATATGAATATCTAGTTGGCCCAGCACCATTTATAGAAGAGAATGTCCTTTCTCCAGTTAATGTTATGTTTTGGGCACCATTGTTGAGAATAAGTTGCCTGAAGGTGTGTGGATTTAGTTCTGGGTCCTCTCTTCTTTCTGTTCCTTGGTCTATGTGTTTATTTTTATGCCAATGTGCTGTTTTTGTTACTGTGAATGTCACATATTTCACTGAGCTAAAAGTCTCCTAATTTATCATCTAATTTACAAGTTTAGTACCATTGCATTATTATTTTTCTTGTCAGGTAATTTATGTAAAGCTTCCACTCTGTTCTAATTGCTTCAGTGACAAATACCTTCTGTTTTCAGTGGAAGACTTGCCACCCGCAGATAACTGTGAATGACTACTGAATGGATTGCATGTCTTGTGCTTTCAGGAGATGTTCTCGGGCCTTCCATCAATGGCTTAGCCTCGCTGATTCGGATGCCTTATGGCTGCGGTGAACAGAACATGATCAATTTCGCTCCAAATATCTACATTTTGGATTATCTGACAAAGAAGAAACAACTGACAGATAATATAAAAGAAAAATCACTTTCATTTATGAGGCAAGGTAAACATTTTAGAAATATACTTTTATTTGTAATAAGAAGTTTGTTCTTTTTTTTTTTTTTTTTTCCAGGCAGGGTTTGCCTTAGACTATTTCAGCCTAGATGGGTATTGTACTGGTGTGCAATGGTGGGACCAGATGGTGTTGAATGTGTTAGAAGCTGTCACCATCCTTCATCCTTCATGCAGCTAACTGTTCACTAACTGCTGCTAAGGTGTTCTCAGTGGCTTAAGCAGGTAGTTTCTAGAGGGGTTTGTATTATAATAAGGGATTTAAAATTTAAAACTCTTTTAAAAATCTAAAGGAATGAGTGTTCCTTTAATCAGTACACATTTATGGAGCTCTCTTAATGCCAGGGTCAATTCTAGTGCTGAGGGAATAGAGGAAGTTGGGGCCTTTCTTCTCAAAGAATCACTGTCATTGGAGAAGACAGTGTCCTGTGATGGGGACCTTCTCACTGCATTTAAAATGTCCATCAGATGGAATTTAGGAGAGAAGTGTTTGTATGGAGAGGACCTTCCAGCTTCTCAGAAAATTCCATATTGGTGATGACTCTGCCTTGACTCTCTGAGAGGTGGCGTTGTTTATTTTTCATTTTTTTTGTTTTATTGATTTTATTTTTTTAAATACATGACAGTGGAATGCATTACAATTCTTATTACACATATAGAGCACAATTTTTCATATCTCTGTTTGTATATAAAGTATGTTTACACCCAATTCGAGTCTATATACATGTACTTTGGATAATGATGTCTATCACATTCCACCATCCTTGCTAATCCCCTGCCCCCTTTCTTTCCCTTCCTCCCCTCTTCCCTATCTAGAATTCATCTATTCCTCTCATGCTCCCCCTTCCTACCCCACTATGAGTCAGCCTCCTTATATCAGAGAAAACATTCGGCATTTATTTTTTGGGGATTGGCTAACTTCACTTAGCATTATCTTCTCCAATGCCATTCATTTACCTGCAAATGCCATGATTTTATTCTCTTTTATTGCTGAGTAAAATTCCATTGTGTATATGTGCCACATTTTTTTTATCCATTCATCCACTGAAGGGCATCTAGGTTGGCTCCACAGTTTAGCTATTGTGAATTGTGCTGCTATAAACATTGATGTGGCTGTGTCCCTATAGAATGATGTTTTTAAGTCCTTTGGGTATAGTCTGAGGAGAGGGATAGCTGGGTCAAATGGTGGTTCCATTCCCAGATTTCCAAGGAATCTCCATACTGTTTTCCAAATTGGCTGTATCAATTTGCAGTTGGTGGCACTGTTAAGATACCAGATGGCTTGGGCACTTGCTAATATTCACAGTTACCAGGATTGAGAGCTTATTATGTAGAAGGCAGTATTCTAAGCAATTTACATCTAATGTCTCATTGAATGCTCACAATGAATATTAGCATGACCCCATTTTTACAGATGAAGAAGTGGAGGCACTACATGACACCTTGACCAGGGTCATGTAGCAAGTCAGTAGCAGAACTGAGATTTGGACCTAATATCTGGCTCCAGAGTCTTGCTCTTAGTATTTACATCTAGGAGCAAAATGAAGAATTCTGAGATATTTTTAATAATAATAATAATAATAATAATAATAATAATAATAATAATAATAAAAATAATCGATTTTCTGGAATATTCCAAAAATTATCCTGAAGTTACAGTTTCAGTTTTTGCATTTCCTTATTAGAGGAAGATCACTGTGTGACTGAGTTTTTCCTGTCTGTGTGATTTGTATGCTGTCCATCAGAATCATGAAGGTTTGAATGGTTTATACAAAATGACTGGAAAATGCTTATTTAGTATAATCTAAGTAAAGTATAGTTCAATGTTTTCCAATTCTTAAGTTCTTGTTTTTCTTTCTTATAGTGAATAGGTTAAATGCAAAGAGAGGCAAGCTGTTAGCCCTTTTGTTAAATTTTACATAAAAGAATCGGAAAACTCAGTAAAGACTGCTTTGATGTGAGCTTTTCTTGCATGTTCCCTTATTATTAGAGACCTGTTTAACCTAAAGTCTGTGTAATAATGGTAAGAGCAACTAACCCCGTTGTAAAGCCCTGCGCATGTTTCATTTAATTCTAGGAGGTAAATGGACTGCTATTTCTGTTTTATAGATGAGGAAATTGAGGCACAGAGAGGTTAACTAACTTACCTATGGTTACTCCCAGGTCATCTGGTTACGTCCATGATCTTCCTCAGAACACTACAGGATAATTCTAGTTTGCAACGCTGTTAGGTTGTTAGAAGCAGTGGGATAGAATAGAAGAAGACCAGGAATTGGACCAAGGTGCTGGAGTACCATTAATGTACTGAGGTCTTGGTGAATGTTCAGATAAAATGGTGAGAGAGAAACATGGGGTCCTGTGGGGAAGGCGACACCACAGGTTAGAATCTGCAGTGTCAGATTACAACAGTGTGAACTCTTAGGTGTTGAATTGAAATAGATGAAGTACTGTCTGTGGGCCTGGATGGTACACACAAAGGCTGAGTGGGAGTCAAGGGGTTACATCAGGAGCAATGCATGCAGTTCATGACAAACTAGGGTGACCAGGATTTGTAATTAGGGCTAAATGTGACCTGAGTTCTGAGTGAATGGAGATACTGGTATATTTTCCTTCAGATTATGGCAAGGTCCTGCAGACACTGACTGGTTCTCAAACCCAGGAGGTGGTTTGCCCTTTAAGGACTCAAAGATCTAGCAATTTACTTGTAGAGTTTCCCACTTAAAATTGCCATTTGTTATACATATATTTGTGGATTATTTATATTTTAAATGCACACATATAATAACTGTTTATTTTTCAAATTCTGTCATAATTTTGTTTAAGAAGTGCTATTAGAGCTCTCTATGGCATATTGTGTGCCATGCTTAAAAAATATGAGATCTTTATACATTGGTGTATTAGTTATATTTAAGAAGATGAGTAAAATTTATTGGAGATTATCCTAAGTTAACTCTGCACATTTAAAAACAAGATCTGGTGTGTAGTCAAGATTTAGTTTGTTTGGTTTCAAGAAAAGAGTGCATTTAAGAAGTACACTGGTGTTTTTTAATTCATTATATTCACTCTTTGTGATATTTTAATACAGTGAAGTGAAATATTTCAGGAAATGCCATAATTTCATATCTATATATGCTTTATGAACTTTAGCTAATCTAATACTAATGCTTTTGAAAGATGGAACCTTAAAGGAATAGTTTGAAACATTTAAGGAATGATAACTTGTCCTTTAAAGATAATTTGAGGGGCTGTGGCTGTGGCTCAGTGGTAGCGCACTTGCCTGGCATGTGTGAGACCCTGGATTCAATTCTCAGCACCCCATATAAATAAAATAAAGGTCTATCACCAACTAAAAAAAGAAAATAGTTAAAAAAAAAAGATAATTTGAGATTGTGACATAGATCCTTGGCTCCGGGTCAGGAAAGATTTTTTTAAAAAATGACTGGTCCAATTCTTTTCCAAAGAGCCCTTGTTCCAAAAGCAGTGCTAGTTCCTTCAGGCCAATCCTGACTAGGCTGGTGCCAAACTGTAAGTTTTTCTAAGCAGCCCTCTGAACATCTCACTGATTACTTGGGAGCTTTCTTCACTTTTGTTGGTTGTTATAAGGTGCATAGCAGCCAGAGGGCAAAGAAATGTTTGGTCTCTAAGTGCCAAATGGTCCTCCAAATTGTTCAGACTGTCCAGCACTACTGCTGTAAAGAAAGCCTGTCTTCACTTGAGAGAAATTGGAGTCTAGGTGTTATAGCACCGGCTAAGGAGGCAGTCAGAACTGGGCTCTAAATCCTGGCTCCTACCTTGGGATTTTCTAGCCCTCTTGGAGCCTCAGTTTTCCCACCTGATACAGTTGACTTGAGAATGAAATATTTCAGCACTGTATTCAACAGTTAAGTATGTCAGTTATGAGAGTGGTTTCTTCTAACTCTGGAGTTAGGGTTGAAAGTCAGCAAACAAATCCTGTCCATTCTACCTCTAGAAACAAATAAGAAATCCTTCCACCTCTCTCCATCTCGGGGCTCACTGTTCCAATTCTAACAGCATAGTTACTCATCTGGACTAATCCGTTGGTTGTCTAATTAGTCTTTCTGCTTCTGTGGTCCCTCCTCTTCAGTATATGATCTCCATATATTATAAAAGGGATCTTTTGAAAATTTCTAGATTATGTAATTTTCTAGCTTAAAGTCCTCCAATGGACTACTGACCTGGCCCCTCCAGGTCCTGAGTGAACTGGCTTCATCCTCTATTTTTCTCCCCAACTGCCACCCTCTCTGCTTCCTTTTCTGCACTGTCTAGAGCATTCCCAGCTTCTAGCTACTTGCTCTTTCTTCTCCTGGAGTGCTCTTCCCTCAGATCTTTCCCTGACTGTCTTCCTTAGTTAGCTGTGTTTTCCTTAGAATGACCTTCTTTGACCATTTACTGACTCTGATTTACATTACTCCATTTTGTTTTTTTTCACTTAACATTCTTTAAAATTATCTTGTTCGCCATCTGTCTCCTACACTTGGAGAATGAACTCTGTGACAAGGTTTAACTGCATCTTCATTGTATTACTTTAGAAGTATCTCAGTAAATAGCCAATGGATGAATGAATTATCCATATTAACTTCTGTCTTTGGGCTTTAGATTCACCATCTTCATGTGGAGATGGGCCTAGAAGATTTTTGAAGCACTTCCACAATGTAGTGATTATCTGTAGACACTCAAGATTCCCCCTGGTCTCAGCGAGAGGTCTTATCAGCCGGGATATGTGACCCGTAGTTTCAACATGTTCCCCTTTGATATGGTGAAGTGACTGATGAAAGTTAGCAAAACTGAGCTCCCCAAAGACATCATTTCACATGCTAGTCCAAATTACATTTCAAAGTGGTAGACAAAAGTTTCCTGGTATAATACTTTTCATTATGAAATCAGACACTGATTTCATAATGAAATCAGAGACTGTCTTTTCTTTTGCCATCATATTTGCCCAAGTCCTTTAAATATAGTGTAGTTGTTTTTCTTTTTTAAGAAATTGAAGTGGCTTTGGTGTGAGTCATGATTACATTATTTAAATGTCATTTATGGACAGCGCATTGTTTTACTTAAATCATGCTTGGCCCAGGAAACCTGTAACCTAACCCATTGATTTTTTGGGTCAAAACAACAGCTACATCATTGAATGAAGTGTGTGTATTTTGCTGTTTAAAAAAGCAAAAAGCAGAATCATAAAATGAAAACTGTTTCTGATAAGGACTGGAAACCCGGTTAACTGAAGATTTAAACCTTATTTTCCTCAGATATTCAAATCATAGCATTTGTGGCTCAAGTTTTTCAAGTGAGAATCAGACCAAGTCTGGTTGAAAACACTGTATTTTTGTCTATTGAAATAAAAACAGGAAAAAATGGGCTTCAGAATTCTGCTGCTGCCTTTGGCCATCACAAGTGTAGCTGGAGGTAATAGTGAAGAACCTAGAGGAGAAAAAAACATAAACTTCTCTATCTATATCTCATGTCAGAGAAAGTAAGGAAGTGAATAATGATTATTTTTCTTTTTAGTACAGAAAATATCTTTATCAGCTTTTTCTAGAGAAAGTGCTTCAGTAGTCAAAAAAAGCTGATTTTACTTCTTTTATTTACATATAATTTTGATATTTAAGGTAAACTGTATTCAGAATGTTACTTTTTTTTTTTTTTTTTTGGTGCTGGGGACCAAACCCAGAACCCTCCTGTATATGAGGCAAGTGCTCTACCACTAAACTATATCTGAAGCCCTGGAATGTTACTTTTTGATGTGTTTCCGTAAACAGTACTTTTATCTTTACTATGGTAAATTCTGAAGATTTTTTTTTATTCATGGTTAGTCTAAAGAAAATTCATGATCCTGAAATGTATGTGTCCTATTTTGTCATTTATAAACAGTGCTTCCTGGGTCATTATCCTAAAAGTCTCTTGACTTCTTCTGTATTTCAATTTTCATAAGTGTCTGACAATTCTGTTTATGTTATTAATTTCAAACTCAAGATCTGGTCATAAAACTATTAATTTAAAAGTAATAGTCTTGTTTTTTCATAAACGTTTGGAGAAAACCATGTTTTTGACATTCTCACTTATTGTGATGAAAAGTCATCAACTCAGGTGACTGCACTGGAATGTTGAATTGTTTTATTAAGAACAAAAGCTGTAGCTCCATCAACAGTGTCCTTTTCTGCTCATGGAGTGGAAATGAGGCCTGATGCACTAGGATGCGCTGGAGGACAAACAGCTGAGGGTTGTCCAACAATGCGTGGCTGGTGTAACAGGAGGAGGGAAACCGCTCAGGGGATGCCCACAAAGACAGTCATATAAGTTCTTCTCGCTGGGTTCTGCTTGTTTTCTTTATTTTTTCATGGAAGCAGAGCTGGAGGTTTAGACTCTCAGGTTTATCTAAGTCAGTTTAAGAAATTCACTCCACAACTGGCTCTACATGGGCTCCTCTTTTCCTCTGGGCTGGTTGCCCCTAGTGGAAGAATGGTGCTAGTTGTTGATATTAACAGGAATGTTGGAGGTCAGCCACCTGAGGGGTAATTTCCATAAGCACTGATCTCATCTCCATGATCTCAGCTCTCTGACCGGTTTTACAAGATCTCATACTTGGAACTGCAGTTGTTGATGTGTGGGGGCTTGGAAGTACATGGATTTCTCCCCCAGAAGAACCTCCTCTAATGACGGGAGGCCTCCAAAGGTCTCCTCTCCCCTCCACTTCCCTGTTAGCCAGAGTTCAACTGTGAACTCAATCTATCTAGTGGATTTAGTCCTGAGACTGTCTTAGACTCTTTTGCTAATATTGTTTGTGAAGATTAAGAAATTATTCTGCTTCTCTGTGATCTCTGATTGCCTCTGAAAAATTAAGAGCTTATATACTGTTTTTTTTTTTTTCAGGGTTGTATAAAAACTAAAACATGATGAAATGAACTAAGTAGTGTTCATAATAAAGCTGATGATTTATTTTTTTTTTCTATTTTTATTTGTTTTTTGAATATGCAGAACATTAACATGCTTCTAAAAGTGAATTTTATTGTTTTTTGGGGGTACCAGGGATTGAACTCAGGGGCACTTAACCACTGAGCCATATCCCCAGCCCTATTTTGTGTTTTATTTAGAGACAGGTCTCACTGAGTAGCTTCCACCTTGCTCTTGCTGTGGCTGTCTTTGAACTTGTAATCCAATAAGATTACAGGCATATGCCACCATGCCCATCCTGTGAATCTCATTTTTAAAAGTATATTTAAAGAGATCTCTTTCCCTCTCCTTTCTCTTCTTCCTACTCCCTGTGAGTAACCGACTTTATTAGTTTCTGGTTTATCTTCTCTTTTTGAAAAAAATAAACATATACCCGTATGCTTTATATTTCCTCTTTTTTCTTGTACAAAAAGTAGCATATAAGATATGCTATTTTAGATTTTGGCCTTTTAATTTAAAGGTATGTCCAACAAATGACCCTACATCAGTTTATTGAGATATTCCTCTGTCATTTTTTCACAGTCACATAGTACTTTGTTCTACATATGTGTAATTATTTATTCAAACAATTTCTGACTTGGGTACTATTTAGGTAGTTTTAAATATTTTATAATTACAAATAATGCTAAAATGAATAATCTGCATATATAGTTTTATGTTATTGGGGGTGTGTCTCCAGGGTAGATTCCCAGAAGTGGGGTTACTGGCTCAAAAGGGGAGAGACACTCTCCTAAATAGTTATATCACTTTGAATCTCCTTTAGTGATGGATGAATACTGTCTTCCTTACATAATGAGTGGTCAAGCTTTTGAATCTTTGCTAATCTGATAAATAAGATATGGTAGCTCACTGTAATTTTAATTTATATTTTTCCTATGATGACATTGAACATTTTTCATATATTTAAGTTCATCTTATATTTTTTTCTATGACTTGTCTATTCTTGTCTTTTTGTTCACTTTTTTCCTATAGGACTTAAAAAAATCTTTCCCCTGAAGTTAAAAATTTTTTTATATATGTATATATAATGTCAACATATAAATATACAAATACATTTATTGATTAATATTATTTATGTTAGCTATTTATCCATTTTATATGTTGCAATATGTCCTTTTATTTTTTCAACTTATAGTGGTTTTTTTTTCATTGAGGAATTTAAAATCTTTTTTAATAGTCAAACTTTTCAATTTTTATTTTGTCATATTTGGTGCTTAGAAAACCTTTCCCACATCCCAGTCAGAGACCAATGCCTATCGTTTGTTGAGAGCTTAATGTGCTAAGGACTTTTCATGCAGTGTCATGTTTAATCATTGAAAGAATTCTTTGAATTATTTGGAGCTGGTTAGACCCTGGCTAATCCCACGTTCTCTATGTACCAGTTGTGACTATGTAGGTAGTATTTTTATACTCTGAGTTTCAGCCTCATTATCTGTATAAAGAGGATAATAATAGCATCTACACCACAGGGTAGATGTTGTGAGAATTACCTGAGTTAATACTTGCAAAGGACCCTGAGCAGTTCTTGATATCTAGTCAGTGTTGAATGAAGGTGGATTATTTAATTACCATATCATAATATTTCGATTGTATAAAAAGATCATAATCTAATTTCAAACTAAGCAAAATCGTTATCACTTTAAACGTTCATATTCCTTTTTCCGTTAAGTCTTAAAGATTACTATGAAACATAGTACTTTCTTTTCTTCACTATGTTTTTGGCCTATGATTTCTCAGTCATTGGACTTGGTCCTGTATGTATTGCTTTGCAAATGTGAAACAACTGCATTTGATTTGAGATAATTTGTTTGCAAATATGAAACATCGGCATTATGAAGGCAAATATTTGAGTCTTAACAAGCCTCTCCAATTTTTACTTTTAATAGTAATAATACTTCAGTTTTATGACCAAGTACTTTTTTGAGTGGAAATGTGGAATTGCTGTGGTAGGCTGACCATTGATGTTTTGTTTTGCCTCAGTTGGCCATGACCAAAAAATTTGAGATGTTATCTCAGATTATATAGCATTTCCTCTTATCTATTGCTGGTATATGAGTAGAAAGTAGTTTTACTGTTTTAGGTCTTGTAAACTTTAACTATGATACCATAGGTAAATACTATTTTTTTTTTTAGGCATCAAATAATTTTAGATGACTAAGCATAAAAACTATCTCGATGAACACTGGAGCGTTAAATAAAACTCTGCCTTTAATTTGCTTGCTTTTGAAGGTCTCCAAGTGTTGTCCACGATTTAAAGTCTTTTGCATTTAATTTGGGGATATTACAGTTCTTATTTTCTGCATTCTGCTTTAAAAGTCCTAGTATTTTAAATTTCCTATAACACTTAACATAGGGAGTACTCATTATTAGGTGTTGGTTTATGTTTTCTTCTTTCCACTTCTCTGCTCTATTTCCTCAACATGGAGTCATTATTAGAAACTTTTATTATGGCAAGTTGATTACATTGAATACTAGTCCATTTCTGTTTCTTCAGGTTACCAGAGGGAACTTCTCTACCAGAGGGATGATGGCTCCTTCAGTGCTTTTGGGAATAATGACCCTTCTGGGAGCACTTGGTAAGTGATTTTTCCAATCCAACACATGTGTCATGGGATGGGCTTTTACTAGGTCACACTGGCCATGGAATTGATAGACATGTCTCTGTGTATAGACTTGGCAGCTGCTTTTCTTAGAGCCCCATTAAAGGGATTTTCTTTTTAAAGCATGGTTTAAAGGGATTTTCTTTTTAAAGCATGGTTTAAAACATTAATAAATCAAATACTTTTTATTTAGAAAAGAAAATTACAATTTCTCTTTTGTTTGTGGGAAAAACAGCACTAGAAATATCTTGTGATAATGATGCAGCTGACAAGGAAAATTGATTATTGTGACATTGTTCTTTCTATAAGCTGATCTGATTAGTGCAAGTGTTTTGTTAATACAGTCTATGTGGTTTATTTAAGGTTGTTTTATTTAAAAAAAATAATGATTAGATTAAGTAATGAGCATTTGGAGTTTCCTCTTGAATGAATCTCTATGTGGCTGATTTTGGATAATTAATTTCTCTTCAGTTTCATATTTCAGAATAAAATTGACTGACTATGTTAGTCAGTTTTTTGTCACTATAATGAAATACCTGAGATAATCTACTTATAAAGAGAAAAGATTGAACTGGTATATAGCTCAGTAGCAGAGCACTTGCCTAGCATGTGCAAGGCCCTGGTTTGATCCTCATTTCTGTGAAAAAAAAAATGTTAAAAGAATGTATCTACAAAACTTTTTTTTTTTTTTTTTTTTTTTTTAGGGAGAGAGGGAGAGAGGGAGAAAGAGAGACAGAGAGAAAAGATTTTGGATATTTTTGCATATTGTAGTCCATGGTTGACCCTATTGTTTTGAGTCTGTGATGAGGCAGCACTTCATGGCAGAAGCTGTGGCCGAACAAAGGCTCTGACCTCATGCCTAGGAAGCAAACAAGCAAGCAAACAAACAACAAAACAAAACAAAACAACAAAAACCAAAGAAGAAAGTGTCAGATTCCCACAGTTCCATTGATCCATGCTCTAAATGCCCCAAATGATCTAAGGACTTCCCCATAGTCCCTCACCTCTCACTAATGGTTCTACCACTTCTCAATAGTACCCTCATGAGTACTCCCTATATTAAGTGCTATAGGAAATTTAAAATACTAGGACTTTTAAAGCAGAAAGCAGAAAATAAGAACTGTAATATCCCCAAATTAAATGCAAAAGAATTTAAATCTTGGACAACACTTGGAGACCTTCAAAAGCAAGCAAATTAAAGGCAGAGTTTACTCTTCAGTGTTCACCAAGATGGTTTTTATGCTTAGTTATGTGACTTTGGGGGAACACATCTTGGAACACAAGATCCAAACTATAGTAGTAAATGCTAAATCTCAACAGCATATTAACAATGGTCTCTTTCGTTTGCTGCATTTCCACTGTGGGTCAGCAGGGGACTCTGCTCTCTGTGCTTTGGCAGCCAGCATCTCACCATCAGAACAGGAGGCTCCAAGCTTGCCACAGCCCTAAAAGAGAAGGCTGCAGTATCTTGCACTGGCAATTGGATGCTTTAGTCTAAGTGTAATATTTCTACTCACTTTATCATTATCGGAGCTGGTGCCAAGGGGGCAGGGAAGTGAATCCCTTTGCATACTCAAAGTAAAGGAAAACTGGATATTATTGAACATTCATACTTAAAGGAGAACTGCATATTATTGAATATTAGTGATATTTATCATGCTAAAACTTTTATAAGATGAAATGGATTCTGCTTCAAATTTTCTCTTATCACGAGTCAGGATATAAATCCATAAATAGACGATTTTGTATATTCTTTTTACTTTAATATAGTGTTCCATATCAAGGTTGGAAAACTTTTTTCTTTTTAATTTTTTAATTAGTTATACATGACAGTAGAATAGAATGCATTAATGTACTTTGATATATCATACGTAGATGGGATATAATTTCTCATTTTTCTGAATGTACATGTTGTAGAATCACATTGCTCATGCAGTCATATATATATACATAAAGTAATAATGTCTGTTTCATTCTACTATCCTTCCTATCCCCATGTCTCCTTCCCTTTCTCTTCCCTCTACCTAATCTAAGGTAACTCTATTCTTCTCTAGTGCCCCCTTCCTTATAAATTAGCATCCACATATTAGAGAAAACATTCAGCTTTTGTTTTTTTTGGGGGGGTTGGCTTATTTTGCTTAGAATAATATTCCCCAGTTCCATCCATTTATCGGCAAATGCCATAATTTCATTCTTCTTTAAAGCTGAGTAATATTGGGGGCTGGGGATGTGGCTCAAGCGGTAGCGCACTCACCTGGCATGCGTACAGCCCGGGTTTGATCCTCAGCACCACATACAAACAAAGATGTTGTGTATGCCAAAAACTAAAAAATAAATATTAAAATTCTGTCTCTGTCTCTCTCTCTCTTTAAAAAAAAAAGCTGAGTAATATTCCATTGAATGAATATATATATATATCTCACATTTTCTTTATCCATTCATCTATTGAATTCATCCATTCATCTAGGTTGGTTCCATAGTTTAGCTATTGTGAATTGAGCTGTTATAAACATTGATGTGGTTGCATTACTGTAGTATGCTGATTTTAAGTGCTTTGGGTATAAACCGAGGAGTGGAATAGCTGGGTCAAACTGTGGTTCCATTCCAAGTTTTCTGAGGAATCTCCATACTGCTTTCCATAGTGGTTGCACCAATTTGCAGTCCCACCAGCTAAGTATGAGTGAAGCTTTTTCCCCATGTCCTTGCCGACATTTATTGTCACCTGTATTCTTTTTTTTTAATTGGTTGTTCAAAACATTACAAAGCTCATGACATATCATCTTTCATACAAGTGATTCAAGTGAGTTATGAACTCCCATTTTTACCCCAAATATAAATTGCAGAATCACATCAGTTACACATTCACATTTTTACATAATGCCATATTAGTGACTACTGTATTATGCTGCGTTTCCTATCCCCTACTATCCCCCCTCCCCTCCCCTCCCATCTTCCCTCTCTACCTCATCTGCTGTTGTTCAGTTCTCTCCCTTGTTTTTCAGTTCTCCCCCTTTCCCCTCACAACCTCTTATATGTGATTTTGTATAACATTGAGGGTTTCCTTCCGTTTCCATGCAATTTCCCTTCTCTCTCCCTTTCCCTCCCACCACTCATCTCTGTTTAATGTTAATCTTTTCCTCATGCTCTTCCTCCCTGCTCAGTTCTTAGTTGCTCTCCTTAAATCAAAGAAGACATTTGGCATTTGGCATTTGTTTTTTAAGGATTGGCTAGCTTCACTTAGCATAATCTGCTTTAATGCCATCCATTTCCCTGCAAATTCCATGATTTTGTCGTTTTTTTAGTGCTGCGTAATACTCCATTGTGTATAAATGCCACATTTTTTTTTATCCATTCATCTATTGAATGGCATCTAGGTTGGTTCCACAGTCTAGCTATTGTGAATTGTGCTGCTATGAACATTGATGTGGCAGTATCCCTGTAGTACGCTCTTTTAAGGTCCTCAGGGAATAGTCCGAGAAGGGCAATAACTGGGTCAAATGGTGGTTCCATTCCCAGCTTTCCCAGGAATCTCCATACTGCTTTCCAAATTGGCCGCACCAATTTGCAGTCCCACCAGCAATGTACAAGTGTACCCTTTTCCCCACATCCTCGCCAGCACTTATTGTTGTTTGACTTCATAATGGCTGCCAATCTTACTGGAGTGAGATGGTATCTTAGGGTGGTTTTGATTTGCATTTCTCTGACTGTTGCCTGTATTCTTGATGAATGCTGTTCTTACTGGAGTGAGATGAAATCTTAGTGTAGTTTGGATTTGCATTTCTCTAATTGCTAGAGATGTTGAACACATCATATATTTGTTGATCAACTGTTTTTCTTCTTCTGTGAAGTATCTGTTCAGTTCCTTTGCCCATTTATTGACTGGTTTATTTGTGTGGGTTTTTTTTTTTTTTGGTATTAAGTTTTTTGAGTTCTTTATATATCCTAGAGATTAATGCTTTATTGGAGGTGCATGTGGTAAAGATTTTCTCCCAATTTGTAGGCTCTCCCCTCACATTATTGATTGTTTCCTTTGCTGAGAAGAAGCTTTTTAATTTGAATCCATCCCATTTATTGATTCTTGATTTTACTTTCTGTGCTTTAGGGACGTGTTAAGGAAGTCAGATCCTAGGTGAAGATCTGGGCCTACTTTTTTTTTATTAGGTACAGGGTCTCTGTTTTAGTGTTTAAGTTTTTGATCCACTTTGAATTGATTTTTGTGCAGGGTGAGAGATAGAGGTTTAATTTAATTTTGCTACATATGGATTTCCAGTTTTGCCAGCACAATTTGTTGAATAGATTATCTTTTCTCCAGTGAATGTTTTTGACACCTTTGTCTAGTATGAGATAACTGTATTTATGTGGGTTTGTCTCTGTGTCTTCTATTCTGTGCTTTGGTCTACGTTTCTATTTTGGTGCCAATACCATGCTATTTTTGTTACTATTGCTCTGTAGTATAGTTTAAGGTCTAGTATTGTGCTGCTTCCTCCTTCACTTTTCCTGCTAAAGATTGCTCTGGCTATTCTAGGTCTCTTATTTTTCCAAATAAATTTCATTATTGCGTTTTTTATTTCTATGAAGAATGTCATTGGGAGTTTTAGAGGGAATTGCATCAAATCTGTATAACACTTTTGGTAGTATGGCCATTTTGACAATATTAATTCTGCCTATCTAGGAGCATGGGATATCTTTTCATCTTCTTAGGGTTTCTTCAATTTCTTTCTTTAGTAGTCTGTGGTTTTCATTGTAGAAGTCTTTCACCTCTTTTGTTAGATTGATTCCCAGGTATTTTTTTTTTTTGAGGCTATTGTGAACGGGGTAATTTTCCTGATTTCTCTTTCAGTGGATTCATTGCTGATGTATAGGAATGTGTTTGATGGAAAACTTTTTCTATACAGAGTCAGACAGTAAACACGTCAGACATTTTGGGACACATAGAGTCTCTGTTGCATAAGCCTTCCCTCCTTCCCTCCCTCCCTCCCTCTTTGCATGCCTTTCTCCCTCCCTCTCTTCCTTTCCTCCTTTCCTCTTTCTCTTCTTCCTTCCCCTCTCTTCTCTTCTGCTTCTCCCTAGGTTTTGACATTGTTGATAGGTGTATGTGTGGGGTGCAGACAGAAACATTCCCTGAGTTGTTTGGCCTGAGGGCCAGATTTGGATCAAACAGATGGGGTATGTGGGCTGCAGTACTTAAGAGAGAAAATGCCCAATCCTCTCACTTGGAGGACTACAGTTAGCTTGTGTACTAACTGTAACTAAAGTGTATACTTCATCCACAGCTTTAGGCTGAGCCACACGTTTAAGTACATGTGTAGAAGAATACAAAGATGAGTAACCTTGGGCAATTTATTTATTGCTTTCGGAGTTCCAAAGTCTCAATCTGTAAAATGAAGAGGCTAGATTAGGTGGTTTCTAAATTCCTTTTCAAATCTGATGTCTTGTGATTCAACCTGGAATTTCTTGGCCATGCTCAAGTAGAAACCAGATCTGTCTGCTAGGCAGTTGTTCATTCATGCTGTCTCTCTTCTTTCTTCCTTGTTTTTCTTTTTCAGAGAAATTCACCTTTGGTGAATATTTTGATGGGGAAAAGAGTTGTTTTGCTTGCTCAGTGTTACTTGGAGGACTTTGTAAAGTGTGTTTTATGTCTTTTTCCCCTTTTCACCAAGGTTGTCAGCTTTTGTTTTAAGATGTTTCCTTGAAGCTGATCCTTACATAGATATTGATCAGAATGTGTTACACAGAACATATACTTGGCTCAAAGGACATCAGAAATCCAATGGTGAATTTTGGGAGCCAGGAAGAGTGATCCATAGTGAACTTCAAGGTAGCAATAAAAGTCCAGTAACACTTACAGCCTATATTGTGACTTCTCTCCTGGGATACAAGAAGTATCAGGTACTTAATCTATAATAAATGACAAGTGGGAAATCCTAGGAAAGTAGATTTTGGTGGGTCAAATCTATGTCTGGAAGCTTAAAGAATTTTGCAGTTTTACATTGGGTTTAAAACTGAATTTGGGTGACCTTTGCTTTCAATTTGTGGCCACATCCCAAAATCTGAGTATAAAATTAATTCACTTTTCAGAATAAGAGAATTATAAAATATTTTCTAATATAGGTATTGTACTTGCTATTAGTAAGAGAAGTCAATACATATCTTATTATTGTTTCCTGGACACTGTGCTGATTTTCTTTTTTTTTACACAACACCTTTATTTCACTTTTTTTTTTTTAATGTGGTGCTGAGGATCGAACCCAGGGTCTCACACATGTGAGGCGAACGCTCTACTGCTGAGCCACAACCCCAGCCCTTATCTCATTATTGTTAGGGAAAAGAATATTCTTAAATATTGGGAATGTGTTCTAGCAAGATGAGATTGTGAAGGATTTTTATTTCTAAAATACCATGGAACAATTGCAGTGTTGGTTAATCTGGTGGAAAGCACACCCACACTCTGAATGGGCATGGGTGCTTGCATGAGAATGAGTGTGCATGGAAAGTTACACTCGTGAGCTTAATTTTGCTCCAGATGTTTGACATCTTGGTGTTTGACACCTTACTGCTAACTGTCAATTACATTTTATAAGATCAGCACTATTCTTTTTATTAAGCTCCTACTATTTTCCTAGTCCAGCACTAGTCATAAACTTTCCCTTAAATTTAGAGATTCAGTATCTGAAATTAAATCAGAGAAATATTTTTCTTAAGCTGTATTTTCTTTTTTTATATCTAAGTTTATGATAATCAGTTGCAAAAGCTCTACTTTTTATTTCTTATTCCTTCGAAAATAATGGTGCTTATTTAATTATAACAAATAAAAGCAGTATTATTTTCAAAATACATAGCAAATCTTTAAATGTCAATGAGCATTGTTGATTCCTATTGCCTAGGTCAAGATCAGGTGCTTAAGAAATGTTGAAAAATTTTTTGAATAAATGTTTCAAAGTACTTTTTGTTTTACTGTGTGGTTATGGGTTGAGTAGTAAAATCTGTATTTTTCTTTCAAGCCTAATATTGATGTTCAAGACTCTGTCACATTTTTGGAGTCTGAATTCAGTAGAGGAATTTCAGACAATTACACTCTAGCTCTTATAACTTACGCGTTGTCGTCAGTGAAAAGTCCTAAAGCAAAGGAAGCTTTGAATTTGCTGACTGAACGTGCAGAACAAGAAGGTAACATGTGAACTGGATTGAATTTTTTTGGACTGTTAAGCATTATGGAAGATGTAAATTAAGTGAGAAGATTTTATAAGCTGGATATGAAGTTGGTTACATTTACAAAAATGAAATACAGAATGAGTTCAGGATGGGCCTGACATGGTGATGATGCCTCTAGCCCCTCTGGGAGTTACCTATAGAATTTTGGGGCTCAGGTATCTCCTTTTAGATATGTTCTGCTGTACATCACTTGCCATTTTTTGATTTGAAATGTTCTTTAAAATATTGTGTTCTGGAGAGACTTGGATTCAAATTCTAATTCTGTAACTTAACTTTAAGAGTTCCAGTTTCTCCACTTTACAAGTGGAACTAACACCTGTATTAGGATTAAATGGAGAATTAAATGAGATCATGAGTGAGAATTAAATGAGATCATGTACAGAGCCTGCCTTATAGCAAGTGCTCAAAAATATGATCTAAATGCAAGTATCAAAAAAAAAAAAATGCTGCCAAAGCACAAGTCACAACAGTCAAATTATGGAACCAACCTAGGTATATGTTGACAGATACCTAGGTTGGTTCATACATATATATGTATACACACACACACACACACATATGTGTATGTATATACACAATGGAGTTTTATTCAGCTATAAAGAAGAACAAAATTTTGTCATTTGCAGGAAAATGGGTGGACAGTGCATTGTGACAGAGCAATGTGTTAAGTGAAATAAGTTAGAAAATCAAGGGTCATATACTTTTTCTCAAATAGTGGAAATTAGAGAGAATAAAGGAAAAAAAAGGGGAGGATCTAGTGAAAATAGAAGGGAGACCAATAGAGTAGAGGAAAAACACTAGAGGAGGGAGAAGGGAGAGGGAAGGTATTGGGGAATGAAATCGACCAATTCATGTTATGTGCAAGTGTGAATATTGTAATAGTGAATCCCATTGTTATGTAATTATAATGTACAATTATAAAAATGTAGAATAAATATAATAAAGTGATTATAAAAATAGTAAAAGAGGTGCTACTAGTAGTAAGTGGGTTGTATTTAGGACTTTTTTTTTTTTTTGGACTGGGGACTGCTTTTTGGCTACAAAAGGACAAGTGTAGTTACTATCCAAATGGGCTATGAAGTCAGTTGTACATGTATATGTGTAAGAGGGAAAGAGAGAGGGGTGGGTGGGCAGAAATAACTTTAAATGACGCCCACCGATTCAAATTTCTGTTCATTCAAGAAGTGATAAATGTAGAAATTGTTTAGAGACTTCAGAAACTATAAAAGATCTTATGAAAAAGGGAGAGGTTTCCCAGAATGTGAGATCTGGTTAGTGGCCGATTTCCAGAACAGGATTCTTTCCCTTATGTCCTAAACTATTTTGGGGATGTCCTGGTCAGATAAATTATATACATTATTTTCCTGGAATATAATATGTTTTTTCTTTTATTTATAGTCATTTAGTCTTAAGCCAAACATATGGAATTTCTCTTGGGAAAAATAGTTCCTCAAAACATCCTCAAATAGAGGCAATATAAAAAGGATGAAAATTTCTAAGTAATAGTTTAAAAAGTGACATATGTAAGTGTGTGTGTGTGTGTGTGTGTGTGTGTGTATGTTTCTGCATAAACATATACTGGCTTGGTACACACATATACATAGATTAAAATATATATATTTTTTAGATTAAAATATTTTTATGCTAATCAAGCAGAACTTGGATCAGTGTAGGTTCAGTGGAATTAAATGTAATTTTTGATAGTTAATTGAAACATTAGTCCTTTCCTTTTTCAGGAGGCATGCAATTCTGGGTGTCATCAGTATCCACGCTTTCTGAGTCCTGGCAACCACGCTCTCTGGATATTGAAGTTGCAGCTTATGCACTACTTTCACACTTTCTGCAGTTTCAGATTTCCGAGGGAATCCCAATTATGAGGTGGCTAAGCAGGCAGAGAAATAGCTTGGGAGGCTTTGCATCTACCCAGGTGAGAGATGGTAGTTTTCCCCCTTTAAATTAGGAGCATATGATTCCTTTTTTTCACTATGACTTCATAAACTTACTCATTTTAAAAAGCTTAGTAACTTAACTCCAACACTTAAGAGACTCATTTTATTTTTTTAATATAAACTTCATATCTGACATTTATATGGAATAAATTAGTTCCCCATCTGTATTGGCTATTTTGTATCTGTAGTAACTGATAAAAGAGTAGATGCTCAGTTTGAAAATTTCTAAGTTATAATAGTTTAAAAAGTGACATATGTAAGTATGTGTGTGTGTTTTCTGAGCAATGTTCCTGGGCAAATGTTTTCTAAGCCTCTGCTATTCTCTGAGCCAAGAGATTCAAAGATGAGTTAGAAAGGCTTCCATTTTCAAGGAGGGTAGATGAATGTACAGTAGGTTTCCTAAATCTGACTACTCTTTGGGGACCTTGATATATACTTATATGGACAATCATTTTTTTTTTTTCTCTCAACAGGATACCATTGTGGCCTTAAAGGCCCTGTCTGAATTTGCAGCTCTAATGAATACAGAAAGGACAAATGTCCAAGTGACTGTGTTGCAGCCTAGCTCATGGAGTCCTGTAAAGTTTCTGATCGATACACAGAACCGCTTTCTCCTTCAGACAGCAGAGGTGTGAACCAGGGGTAGTTATTTAAAATTCTGTGAAATTGGTTATTTGTACTGGAATACTGCTTTATTTTTAATCTGCTGACATGAGCAATGACTTCTTTCCAGAGCCCTGCAGAGAGATGGTGGGGGTGTCCTTTCGGTTGGATTTTCTGATCTCAGGAAGGATGGAGGAGATGGGAACTTTGGAAATATTGGTAGAAAAAGAGAAAATACAGGGACTTCCACATTGGAAAGGGAATAACCATGCCTTGCATTCCTGCCTATTTCTCAGGGCATCTTTCTTTTTTTAGTTGTCACACTTGAGAGGAAATGTGTGTTACTTCTGTGTCTTCTTGTAACATGGTATCTTTCAGTTCCATCTATTGTTCCTGCACAAGACAGAATTTTGTTCTTCCCTAAGGCTAAATAACATTCTATTATGTATATTTTATATATTCCTCATCAATTCTAATGTTGACGGGTACTTGGCCTGATTCCCTATCTGGGTTAAATATGAGTATGTAGGTGTCTGTCTTTTGCATGCTGACTTCATTTTTCTTTTCTTTTCATTTTTGGCTACATAGCCAGGAGTGGAATAGCTGGATCATAGAGTAGTTCTATTTGGAGTATTTTGAGGAATTTCTATACTGTTTTCCATAGTGACTCTACTAATTTACATTTTTACCAACCATGTATAAGGGTTTCTTTTGCTTCTTCTTCACAGCCTCACTAGAATTTATACACACACACACACACACACATATATATACATATATACATATATAATATTCATATATATAATATACATATTTATTTTATTTATTTTCTTTCTTTCTTTGTTTTTTTGATAACAGCTATGATAAGTGATATGAGATATAATCTCAATGAAGTTTTGATTTACATTTCCCTGATGGCTAGAGATGTGGGGCACTTTTTCATATATTTATTAGCCATTTGTACTTTCTTTTTTTTGAAGGGTCTATTTAGGTGATTTGCCCACTTATTAATCAGAATATTTTATTTAGGATTTTTGCATTGATGTTTATCAAGGGTGTTGGTCCTTACTGTTCTGTTTTGTTGTGTCCTTATCAGGTTTTGATAGCAGGGAAATACTGACTTTGCAGAAGAGTTTGGAAGTGTTCCCTCTTTTTATTTTATGTAATAGCTTGAGAAGCATTGGTGTTAGTTTGTCTAAAAGTCTGGTAAAATTCAGTGATGAGTCCATTTGGTCCTGAAGTTATTTTTTTTTGGAGACTTTTTTAAAATTACAACTTTAATTTCATTTTCATTATTTTTGATTGATCCTTTTAGAATTTTTATCACCTTGATTCAATTTTGGTAGTTCATGTGTATATATTTCTTTCAGATTTTTCTAATTTATTGGTATATAGTTTTTTAAAAAAATTCCCCTTGAATTTCAGTGCTTTCTCTTGTATTGTGTCCCTTTTACAAAACTCTATGTAAAAATTTGGATCTTCTGTCTTTTTCTGATGGTTAGTTTAGGTAAGGGTTTGTCAATTTTATTTATCTTTTTAAAGAACCAACTCTTAATTTCATTATCCTTTGTATTGTTATTTTAGACTTTATTTCATTTATTTCTTCTCTGATCTTCATAATTTCTTTTCTTCTACTAATTTTTGGTTTGGTTTGTTCTTATTTTTCAAAGACCTTGAGATGCATCATTAGGTTATTTATTTGAGATCTCATTTTTTGGATGATCTTATTGTTATACATTTTATTCTTAGTATTGATTTTTCTGTATTCCGCAGATTTTGTATGTTTTGTTTCCTTTTTTGTTTGATTCAAGAATTCTTTAATTTCCCCTGTGACTTCTTCCATGATCCACTGTTCAATGGTGTTTTTTTTTTTTCAGTCTCCATGCATTTGTATAATTTCTGTAGCTTCTTTTGTTGTTGATTTCTAGTTTCATTCCATTGTGATCACATAAGATGCAATAAATTATTTCAGTTTTTTGAATTTGTTAAGGCTTGCTTTGTGGCCTAATATATGACCTCTTCTGGAAAAAATTCCATGTGCTAATGAAAAAAATGTGTATACCACAGCTGTTGGCTGGAATATTCTGTAGATGTCTGTTAAATCTGTTTGATCTATAGTATAATCCAACTTTGATTTTTTTTTGGTTCATTTTTTTTGTCTGGATGATATGCCTATTGGTGAGAGAAGGGTAGGAAGTTCCCCACTATCATTGTATTAGGGCATCTCTCTCCCTTTATGTCTAGTAGCATTTGTTTTATAAAACTGGGTGCCCAACATTCAGTGAATTTATATTTATAATTGTTATATCTTCTTGATGTATTGTTCCCTTGAATGATAGAAGCTATGTTAGTCAGCTTTTAGTTGCTGTGACCAAAATACATGACATGAACAACTTAGAAGGAAGCATATTTCTTTTGGCTCATGGTTCCAAAGGATTCAGTCCATGCTTGACTGGTTTCAAGGCAGAAACATCATGGTAGGACATGATAAAGCTGCTCAGCTCATTGCAACTGGGAAGAAGAGAGAGATATAGGAAAGGACCAGGGACAGATGTAGTCCCCAAGGCCGTGCACCCAGGGAATTACTTCCTAAAGCCATGCCCTATCTTCCTACAATTACCACCCTGTGGTCCATTCAAGTTATTAAGCCATCAAATGGGTTAATCTACTGATGAGGCTATAGCCCACATAATACAATCATTTCCTAAAAGCTCCACCTCTGAACCTTACCATACTGGGGATCATACTTTGAATAGATGAACTTTTTGTGGAGACATTTCCAATCCAAACCATGACTATGTCCTTCTTTGTCTCCTTTTTGTCTCTCTCTCTTTTGATTTTTCTTAAGTCTATTTTGTTGCATACAATTATAGCTACACTGCTTTTTGGATTCTATTTGTTTGGAATACCTTTTCCATCTTTTCACGTCCTGTCTCTATTTGTCTTTGTAGGTGAGGTCAGTTTCTTGTGTGCAACATATTTTTGAGTCTTATTTCTTAATCCTTTCAGCCCACCAGTGTCTTTTAATTGTAGAGTTAAGACCATTTATATTCAGAGTTATTATTGAAAAGGATATGCTTGTCCCCCGCCATTTTGTTAACTTTCTTCTAGTTGTTTTGACTATCCTATGTTTCTTCCTCTATTAGTTATTCTTAGATGTTTGCTGGCTTATTGCATTGGTAATGTCTGATTCTTTCCTGTTTCTCATTTGTGTGTCTACTCTTTTAGTGGGATTTATTTTTTTATGTTCTCTCATAATTGTGTTTATCTTTCTTCTTCTTCTTCTGGGTATAGTAGTTTCTTTTATAATTCTGGTCTAATGGTCATGATTTTTCTTTGTTTATGATTATCTTGGAAGGTCTTTGTTTTTTCTTTGATTCTAAAGGATAACCTTGATGGGTTTAGTAATTTTGGCAGTTATTTTCTTCTAGGACTATGTCCTCCTGGCTTTTTGAGTATCAGATGAGAAATCTGATGTTAGTTTACTGGTTTTGCCTTTAAATGTGATTTAGCACTTCTCTGTTTTAGATTGTAATATTCTTTCTTCATTCTGTACATTTGGCCATTTAACTATAATATGTTGTGCAAGGGTTCTTTTCTGATCATGTCTATTTGTAATTCTAAATTCCCCCTGTACCTGGATTTCCATATCTTTCCAAGACTTGGGAAATTTTATGTAATTATTTCATTGACTAGGTTTTCTGTGCCCTCTGTATGTTACTTTTTCCCTTGGGTATACCAATTATGTGGATGTTTGATTTTTTTAATGGTGTTTCAGAGATCTTGTATGTTCTCTTCATTCTTTTAATTTTTTTCTTTATTGCTATATGAATGAAATATTTTGGTAGAGTTGTTTTCAAAATCCAGTATTCTTTTTTTCTAATTGATCTACTCTGCTGTTGAGGCTTTCAACTGAGTATTTTATCTGACTTATTGTGCTTTTAATTTCTAAGATTTCTGTTTGGTTCTTTTTCAGATTCCATATATTTATTGACTTGCTCATTCATATTCTGCATTGTCTTCTTCAGTTCCTTCAATTATTAATTTATATTTGCCTGGATCTTATTGAGTTTTTAAAAAACTCATTCTTGTGAATTCTTGGCATTTCATCCCCTTCAGTATCCTTGAAATCTGTTACTATGGAGGTAGAAGTTATCGAAATATTACCTTATTTTTTCATGTCTCTTGTTTTTCTACATTGAGATTCATGCATTTGTTGCGATTGGTGTCTCTTCCACATTTATGTTGTGTCCTTGTGGTTATGCAGCTTTCTTCTGACAATATGACTTAGGGTGTTGGCTTGTTGCATATTGTTGAGTTTATTTCCAGTGGACTATGTAGTGTAACTTTCCTGTAGCTTCTTTGGTTGTGATTTATCAGTTTGGGCCTAGAGTGTTCCATGTTGGAGTCAGAAAAGCCCCTACTCTCTCTGTAAGTCTTTAAGAGTGGAAACATTCAGGCAGATGTGGTATAGGAAGCAGGGTAGATGGAATGTGCCCTCTGTAGCCACTTCTATTAAGAGAGTGGAAGTCCCCATCAGGAGTTGGGATTTTCCACAGGTACTATTGATAGTAGCTTTGTTATGTGAAATCGATTCTGATGCTGGTTGCTCCAGTTGTGTTGAAGGGCCTCCTGAATCACTTGTCCTCTGATAAAAGATGGAGTGAAGATCTAGGTAATTCAAGAGGAGAGGGAAGGGACAGAGTTGAAATCACAGCTCCTTGCTGTGGCACTTACCTTAGTCTTATTAACCCTACATGATGAGACCAGTGCAGATGCAGCTTGTTAAAATTTTTCTCAGCTCTAATCAAACTAGTTGGGGCAGAATGCAGGTGGTATCAGGTGGCATCACTTTCCAAACATGTATTCTTTCTGGAGGTTTTTAGCTAATACACGTGGGGCTATGGCAAGCACCAAACTAACAGGGTCTTGAACAAATTACTAGCCTTGAAGAGGTTGGGAAGACAGTGGAATAGTGACACCCCACACTGGCTTGCTCCTCTAGAGGATAGATGCAAAGCCTCATTGTGTAACTGCTTGAGGAGGTGAGCTTTGGCTTGTAAGACCATGCAAAGCTCTCAGAATTCTCCATGGATTGCTTCTACCCATACTGAGGATATGGGTACTTGGAAGGAACTAGATATGGAAAATTACACTCATTCTTCATTCATTCCCCCCCCCCCCGTTTGTTCAGATTGCTGTGGTACAGCCAACTGCTGTTAATATTTCTGCAAGTGGTTTTGGATTTGCTATTTGTCAGGTATGTAATAATGTTTATTTTTAAGCTAAGTATGACTTTTAATAATAATTCTTTGGGAACATTGCTAAATTTTATCTTAGACGATTTGTATAAAATTCTTAATTATTTATTTCTATGACTTAGGTAAGATGTACTACTCTTCTTTAGTAAAAGGTATTAGAGATGTTATGCACTAGTGAGTAGACAAGAGTCATGTATTGATAATCAATTTGAAAAATGAGTTTGGGGGATTATTTGCCTTTTGACGTGAGAGTTAAAATCTTTTAATATGATTCAAGTGAATAGTTGGGAACTCCCACTTTTTTGGTAAAAACACAATTCAGGAATTGTACTGTTGGTATAGCTTCTATTATTACCTGATGAACAAATACACATTTTACTTACGTATTCTGAATATTTGTCCAAGAATATAAAGGTCAGTGTGTCATTATAAGTTTTTGTCTTGAAAATAGGAAATGCATTCCTTTAATGTAAATCCTTATATACTAGTAAATAAAAAAATTAGAGCATGATTATGTTCAATGCTGTGGTACAGGAAGAAAACTAAAAGAAGCCTACTTTTTGTGATATAGCAGAGCTACAGTAAATTGGAAGTAGTATGAAAATACTGACTAGAATACGCATTACACTGAAAATACATGAAAATAATACAGACTTTAAAATCATCTCATTGGAACCCCAAATAATATCTGATAGGATTGAAAATGATTATACATATGAGTAAAAAACCAAACCAACCTCAAAACACTTGCCAAGAAAGTAATACAGTGGCTATTACTGAAAAATGGTACTTTCAAAAAAAATCAGTACACCAATTCTAATTGAGAGAACTGGTATGCTGCCAAGGGCAGGTATACCTTGCTTATTAGCAGGTATGATTTAGAAATTTCCTGATAATTTTAAACAATTATTTAGATTATTATTTATATTATTAAGAGAATGAGTACATAATCTCTGTTAATTTTTACTAACAAAGGCCATGGGAAAATTCTTATTCCTGAACTGTCTTAAAGCAAAGAGTAAATGCCAATGTAAATATTGCAGTATATTTTAGACAATATAAAAGTTATGTATGCTTAAATCAACAAATTGTTGGGATTCATTTTCGATAAGCCAAATATAGATGAATCACTGAAACCGAATGCTTGTTACTTAAGGTTTGAAGGACACAGGGATAACTGTGGTACCTAGTATTTAGAATGTTCATTGTCCCATGTCTATATAAATATGTGGAAAACAAATAGAAATGACCAATAGCCTCTTCTTGTACTGGAGGGAAATAATTGGAAAAACGTTGGTCACCCAGAAATGGATATTGAGATTCTTGTGTTCTGGAAGAAGAAGAGTTCAGAAAACTATTATATTTGTAGTAGCTGTTAAATTCTTTTGGGTAATAAAATGCTAAGCTGTTGGAAATCAACTGCAAGATCTCTTGGAGTTCTATGTGAAGTGTAGAGCTTTACTGTGATCCATACATAAGTCCTAACACTTAGTTGTAGATGGGTATTAATTATGACACAGTGGAAAAATCTAATAGTCCTTGTTTGATGACATTGATCTCTGAAGGGAAAATTGCATGCCACTGAAGGATCATGATGAAAATAACAAAGACCATCTCTCCAGTTTTATGAAACCATCAACTTCTTCTCCAGGAATAATTAAAATCAATAATTAAAATTATTCTTAAAATTAATAATCAATTATTGTAGTTTGGAAAGCATTGGAGAATGTCCAGAGTAAGATAATCAGGATGATCAAAGAGATGGAAGATTACATGATTATATGATGGAAGATTGTTGGGTTGTGATAGAATAAAAGACTACAACTCTTAGATTTGAAAAGTGAAGTTTAGTGAGAAGATTTTTTCAAAGTATCTAAATATAGGAAGGACACTAATGTTTACTTCTGAGGGGTATGTGTATGTGTGTAGAAATAAAAGAAAATATAATATTGCATATTAATATTCAGCTTTATGAACCTTGGTAGTAAAAAAAGTGGATGAAATAAAACAATTAAGTAGATTCTGTTTCATCTTGGGATGAGAATGGCCTAGGAAATTTTGAGTACATTCCTAAACTTCTGATTTAGGATCACTTTGAGGAAGATACTGGCCCTCACACTTCCCCAGTATTCCCGTAGCACTTTTCACATCAGTGGTGGGCACTGACTGTGTTCTGTAAAAGACCCATTTGACTTCAAGTCCATCATTTTATCATCTTTGAAAAGCATTATATCATGAAAAAGAATCCCCAGCAGCTGAACAGGCAATGTTTTAGTTTTCATTTATCTTACTGAGAGATTTTTTGGTTCCAGTTTGTGAAAAACATTCCATTTGGTGTTAAAGTTAGAAATTCGATAAAACTCTCAAGAAGATAGCTCCACCCTTTCCTCTCAAGGGTGTGCTTTATATTCTTTATAAAAACAATATCCCATGAATATTATACACTGTTTTATGGTGCTTGCTTTGGAATATTACCTAAAATTTTTGATATAGATTTTTTTTCCTTTGTTTTGGTACTAGGGATAGAATCTAGGTTCTTGTGCATGATAGGCAGATGCTCTAACGCTGACCTACAACCCCACCCTTACCTACAATTTTAAAAATAATTTTTAAATAATATTTTGTAATAATTATTGGCCAGTGAAATGAGTTTTTTCTAGTTGTGAAGGTTACAAATCTTTTTGGTTTATCCCAAAGAGAATCATTAGCTAATATTTAGAATGTAAAATGATGGCAATTGATTGTTAATAAATATATTGCTAATTTATTATTTCTGCTAATTTGTTATTTATTGCAGTTCAATGTTATTTATAATGTGAAAGATTCAGGGTCTTTTAGAAGAAAAAGTTCTACCCAAAAGCAAGAAGGCTTTGATTTAGATGTTGAAGTAAAAGATAATAAAGATGATATCAATCATGTGAATTTGAATGTGTGTACAAGGTAGGTATCTCTTTAGGTCCTTCCTCTTCTTTCTTTTTCTTCTTTAAAAATAGATTTGAAGATTTAATTATGTATAGTTATCAAACTATATGTAGGGACTTTTATTTCATGAAGAATTCAGTTATGTAATTATGACTTCAGATTACAGACTAAAAGTACTACTGATTGTTTTCAGCATTTCTTAGACATGTCCAGAAATTGTTCACAAGTTTTTGTTGTATTTTATAACATACTAGAATATAAAAATATATATAAATTCAATAAAATTCAAATCTAATTTAGTAAAACTTTAACCAGTCATGTTTAACATTCCAAAATATTTATTGCTGTTAAGTCATTTTTCTGTCAAAATAATTTCATTTCAGGTTCAGATTTAACCTTAACTTTTTATACTTTTTTAGTCTGTTTTTTATTAGTGATATATATATATATATATATATATATATATATATATATATATATATATATATAATGTCATTCTGACATTTCATAAATGCATATAACATATTTTGCTCCATTTAACTTTTATACATTTGACCCTGAACTTTATAAGAGCATGCACATTCAATGAAGAAAAGTTTTTTTTAGATGCACTGAAAATATTCCAGTTTAGATTTGCATCTTGGATAATTAGAACCTGTCTGGAAGTACTTAATTGAGGTAATTCTTAGATGGGTTTGTATCCAGAGCATCTGAGGGTCTTAAGTCATAAGAAAAGAGATTCTACCTCAGAACTGCTGACTTCACAGTAAGGCTGTGAAGCTGCCTCTTCAGCTTCTTGGTCATACTAATGCACACACAAGTTTGAGAACAACTCTGAGAAAAGTTCTTGAATCAAGAGGCTTTGCAGGTTCTTCCTTCTCAGTCTTTCCTGTTACATCTGCATTTTTTGGTGTGAGCTGGGAGCTACTATGAAAGGATGCACTAACACCAAGGAATTGCTGTCTGCACTTTTCAAATATCCCATACCATTATGATTGAACTTAGCTTGTTGTTGGGCTGAAGGTCACTGGTGTGGTTCAGAGCTTCCAGATGTTCCTCAAGGCCATCTCTAAGTGTTCGTCCTGATGTTCAACCGATGCCTGAATCACCTGCATTATCACTACCATTTGTACTATCTTTGGGCCTTCTTATTCATGACTTTGGGACACAGTGTCACATATTTGCACCTTGCATTACCTTCTTGGACATTCTGTACTAGGAAAAGCAGCATCTCTGCAATGGCTTCCTTTTCAGCTAAGAAGGAAGTGGGGCTCCTATTATTATTATTGTTATTTACTAGGTTTGCAATTGGTCTCTGTTCAAGAATGACAACATCAAATTGTTGTTATTGTCAACAATCAACCTACATTTATCACAAATCTATATGCCAGGCACTGTACAAAACGTTTTTACATGCATCTCATTTAGGCCTCTCAATTACTCCATGCACTAAATGCTATTATTTTCCCTGTTTTTTTCTTTCACTCATTCATTCACTCTATAAATATTGGTGAAGTCTCTTCTGTATGTCAGTAGTCAGGCATGAGAATATAATGCTGAGCCAAAAAAAGACACCAGGTTGCCTTCATGAAATTTACTGTTTGGAAGGGGAGGCAGAAATGAATACAAAGTATCCTCAAAGCAAGTCTAAAATTGTGGTTTTGAAAAAGTCAGAAAAGAGCTTTGTGGAGCTGTGAGAGGGGGATTTGACCTCTCAGGGACATCAAGTGAAGAAACAGATGAGGAAATGAAGTAGAACCATGATTCAGATCATGAAGAGACCTATTTATTTATTTATTTATCTATATTTTTGGTGCTGGGGATTGAACCTAGGGCTTTGAACATACTGTAGGCAAGCTGAACTACATCCTCTGAACTACATCCCTGGCTAGAGGTCTCCTCGTTTGTATGGGGGTTTATGTAAGGAAGCAGGATTTTAAATCTTAATACAGTATGAGGAATAAAATGGGCAACAGACATTGATTGGTAGTTAGATCCTGAAGAAGGAAATGTCTTCATGTGAAAGTGGAGGTTTTATAAAAGGTCAGCTGGTCCATCTGTCCTTCTTTTCTCCTTTCCTTCTTTTCTTTCTTCTTTCTTACATAACAGTGGATCAAACCCAGGGCATCATGTATGCTAGGAAAATGTTTTACCTCTGAACTACATTTCCAGTCCTTTTATTTTATTTTGAGACAGGGTCTCACTAAGTTGCCCAGGCTGTCCTTGAACTTGAGATACTCCTGCCTCAGCCTCACAAATAGCTAGGATTACACAGGCATATGCCATTGTTCTGGCTATGAAGACTTTTAAATGCAACTGCTAGTTTTCTGAGAAAAGCTATTACATCAAACACAAACAACATAAAAATAATTGAATTTAATAATAATTTTCAGTAATAAAAAGCACTGAATTTTATTTTTAGTGATACTTTATAAAAATATTGCCTGATAATACAGGCATTTTATTCCTATCAACAGGGTCTAAGACGTGACCTCAGACAAGGTTTTCTGTGGGGCAGGATAATTTAGCAAATTCTTCGTTGGCTAGTAAACTAGTCTTTCAAATGCCTTTGGTCAACCAAGGTGCTTTGACAAGGTAGTGAAAGTATAATCTGCATTATACTTTTTAAGCATCTAAAAAGATTAACTGTTCTTCTCATCTTTAATTTTTGCTCACATGCAAACTCCTCTGGTTTCAATCCACTTACTAAGTTTTCAATAGCACCTACTTTGGCTAAGTGCATTGCCCAGCAGATGGTTTCAGTTGCTTCAGAGTGCTGAGCCAGCTGAGAATAGAAGTTGCATTGAATGGCTTTTCAATCAGTCATGTTTGGCAGGCATCCGCTTGCTGCTCTAAAAAGCAAACTTTTCTAATCAGCCTTCTTGCTTTTGCCATAAAATGGGACAACAGGAAGTAACTTAACAATACTATGATCCTTTTGTGTTGGAGGCAAACTTCTTTCTATAACCACACGAAACTCCTGTTCCAGATGAAAAACTTCTGCCACCTATTTGTTTTCAAAAAATATGTATTTTGAAGGAGACAACATGTTGTTGGTGCCCAGATTCTTTGATGCTCACACTGTGGTGTTGAGCTGGGAGTTACTATAAGGGTGAGGTGGGAGGTGTGACAGGGTGAAAGAATGCAGTGCAATAAAGCTTTCCAAGGCTTGCAGATCTCTCAGGGTGGCTCAAGAAAACATGTACTGTGCTCAGTGTGTGTGTGAAAACAAAGGGGAAAGCCTCTCCCTGCTAGATTTCTTTTTCTAAAACCAGATGAAGAAAACCTGCAGGCTTGGTTGGCATCTGCCACTAAGTGGTCAAGCAGTGTCTCCTCTAAAGGTCTTGGGCTTTCAGCTGGAAAGTTTGATGCTGTTAACTTTTGAGAAAGTGAAAATGACATACAGTTTGGAATCACCACTGAAAGCACCACTAGAATTTGTCGAAAGGATGTGCGTTGTACTTGTGACAACCTCAAAGCACAAGCCTGTTGGATTATAGACATTTCATCCTATCTGTCCAGTGACCTCATTGTTGTATTAGCATTACTCTTATGGTTGAAAGAATATTACACATGTAGGAAAAGGGTAACCTGTTCAGAAATATTCTACAATCATTTTTTTGAACTTAAATGGTATTAGAGTAATATTTTGCAGTTTTAATTTTTGTCTGAAAATCATTTCCTAACAATTTATAGCTTTTCCTGAAGGATTTTCTCCTTTTTTCTTTTTCTTTCTTTCTTTCTTTTTTTTTTTGATGTAGGTTTTTGGGCCCGGATAGGAGTGGCATGGCCCTTATGGAAGTTAACCTTCTTAGTGGCTTTACTGTGCCTTCAGATGCAATTCCTCTAAGCGAGACAGTGAAGAAGGTGGAACATGATCATGGAAAGCTCAACCTCTATTTAGATTCTGTAAGTAGTAAAACCTAAGTTTCAAAAAGGTAATTATTGATAAAGTCACCATTTTTTTTGTGCTCGGAAATCTCCCTTAGGGAATGGGGATGTAACTCAGAGGTAGAATGCTTGCCTAGCAAGTGGGAAGCCTTAGGTTTAATCCCCAGAAATACACACACACACACACACACACACAGAGTCTTTCTTACTTATGTTTTCTTTAAGTCATTATTCTTTTGGCTTTTTGTGTCCCTGAATGATTTTAACATGACGACCATGTTAAAGGACATTAAAAAGACATCACCGTAAAATTAGTTTAGAGTTATTATTAATGATGAGCCTGAGGAAGATCTTGATAATGAAATCATTATTTCATGTTAGATGCAAAATGTGTAGAGATTGCCATCTTATCAGTTCAGAAATTCAGACCAGATCTCAATTTGAGAACCCCTCTATCTTCAGGAATTGCTAAACATACTTGCTCAGATGCTGAGGATGAAAGCTTTAATTACATGTTCTAAAATGCTCTTGTGAAGTTTTTAACAAATCTCTAAGTGATTATTATTCCTGTCTTAAAAGGTTATGTGCTTAGGGTTGGGGATGTGGCCCAGGGCCAGAGCGCTTGTCTGGCACGTGAGAGGCCCTACATTCTATACCCAACATCAAGAAGAAACAAAAAGGTGCTTAAATTATAGAAGAATATTGTCAGAGGTTTGGTCTACACCAAGAATTATATGCAACTGTTTCCATTGCTGTCTGAGTGGTACTGATCCAAAGATAAGAGTAAAAATCATGGCAGGAAGAGGTCAGGGAGGAATTCCAGCCTTGACTTGTTAGGTTTCAAAATTGCTGGTATGTGAATTTTTTCTCTTCTTCTAGCATCTATATGAAACTCAGAGGTTGAACTGAAACTGATTTCTAAGCATTCTTGGGATTGCATGTTACATGGGAGGAACCCATATGTTTCTTATTCCAGTTTTGCTAAGTATGAGTCAGAAATATACTAAATATTGCTAAATATTTACCTTTAAAAAGCTAGATCCTGAATGTTCTTCTTTGTTTCAGCACTTCAGAAATCACTCTGATTAAAGTCCTGTTAAAGCTAATTTAGCCTTTAAGTTACTTTGCTGTTAAGGAATTTTCTTATATTAAATTATGCTTGAAAGCCATGGACCTGATTTGGAACTTAAAAAAAAGTTTAAAGTTTTTATTTAGTAATTGTTTCTGGAGTTTGTCTTGCATCTTTGATGTGCTTGTTAATGTTTTAATTTGAGTGCCCAATAATCTCTGATTGATTTAATTTTTTTCATTTACTGCTATTGGTATATAATGAATGTTTGAAGGAATTTATTAATTTTTGATTTCTTAACTGACATTGTTTGTCAGATTGGCATAAACTGCTCCTCCTGGAGTGAGGGAGGCTGGCCTTTTGTATGTGTGTGGTACTGAGGATTGAACTCAGGGGTGCTCTACCATTGAGCTACATCTCCAGCTCTTTTCATTATTTTGAGAAAGGGTCTTGTTAAGTTTTCCACGCTGGCCTCGAGCTTGTGCCCTCCTGCACCAGCCTCCTAAGTATCTGTGATTATAGACATGCACCACTGCACCCGGTTGAGGTGGGCCTTTGGTACTCCACATTGATCAGGGGTATACCTAATTGTGGCGTGCACCCCCACCTCAGGGCTTCACTTACTGCATGAGGTGGCCCACATAATCTGAGGGTAACTCTCTGGAGGAGGGGCTTCTGTGAATCATTAAAGGACAGGTGCACTCTCTGAAAGAGAGGATTTGGATAAGGAACCATGTCCCCAGAAGCATGCACCCTTAGGCTGAATGTTTGCTTAACAACTCTAATTCTCAATATCCCTTTCAGCAAAATAGAACTAAGAACAATACCTGACTTGTAAGGGTTGCTTTACAAGGTAGAAAAGATAATTAATAGAAAGTATTTATTGCAGTACATGGTAAGTACAAGTCTTCCCTAAATATCAGTTTCTGTTTCCTAAAAGGGTAAGAAAAAGATCTCTCTTACTTTTTTATGAACACATGGTGTGCCAACCCATAACCCCTTAAAAGTCTTTTTTGTATTTTTCAAGGTAAATGAAACCCAATTTTGTATTGATATTCCTGCTGTGAGAAACTTTAAGGTTTCAAATACCCAAGATGCTTCTGTATCCATAGTGGATTACTATGAACCAAGTAAGTTGTGGTCTGGAGTTCATAATTGTTAGAGTCTGTAAACAAGTCAAAATAACACCTGGCATTTTGCCAGGGGAATGTTAGAGTTCTTAAACAAGTCTGGATGGTGCCTGGCAAAATGCCAGAGGGAGTGGTTTGAGAAGTAACAAAAGCGAGCCATTAAGTGTGGAGATTCCTGATTGGTTGACTGCTGTATCTAGTTTATGCTAATTAGATAAGCTGTGTGGAATGTATAAATACTGCTCCTGTCCTGTAATAAACGGCTCCCACTCCTGCTGTATCAATCTACACAAGTTGTTCGTTACCCCCCGGTTATTTTGCTGCAGCCGGACTGCGGCACATAATACTTTACAAGTGAAGCCAGGCATTCAGTTATCATTCTTCTATTCACAAGAAGTGGGGGCAAGTGTAGGAGGTGGCCTCTAGGAGGTGAGCTTTCTATTTGAATGAAGACGATCGATAATTTACAATCATTGCTAATGACAACATTTAGCATAAAAATGTTATAGAGTGACATTTTCGCTAATTTGTTTTTGTTTTTGTTTTTTTGATACTGGGATTGAACTCAGGGGCACTCAACCAATGAGTCACACTCTAGTCCTATTCTGTATTTTATTTACTAAGTTGCTTAGTATCTCCCTTTTGCTGAGGCTGGCTTTGAACTCATGAGGCTCCTGCCTCAACCTCCTAAACCACTGGGATTATAGGCATGCACCACAGTGCCCGGCATGTTTTAGGTTTTTAATTCATAATCACAAACTTCAGAGGAGAAGGTGATGAAAGAATCATCACCTTGTGGTTTTATTTATTTATTTATTTTTGCTTCTATTTCAAGCTTCTATTCCATCAGGCTCCTGCTGTCAAGTTGGAGCTTTTTAGGAAAGAACATTTGCAGTTGTTTCTTCATTGGGAAGGAAGGACTGATGTTTTGCTAAAACTTTTATGCATTATAAAAGGATTTTTCTTAGTGTATCGAGAAAAATACAGACTGGAAGATAACTTCTTTGATTTGACTATTAATGTTTTATAAAATGATAGGAATTTAGGATGTGAAAATAGCTGGCCTAGAGATAGCCCAAGTTAATTGTGAATAATCTACTTTCATCACAGAGTGACTTTCTGTGAGTGTGGGATCTCTGGGCTAATGTTTCTAATTTTAATGAGTCTTATCCTGAATAAGCACTCAATCATCAGAATGCATGAGAAGGATAAACCTTCTCTTATGGTAGGTAGTTTCAGATAATTACATGTTAAAAAAATGAACTTGATCACTATATACTTAAGTTTTGATAGTGCTTGACAGAGTATTCAAGACTCTCTTTCTGAGTTTTTCTCTTGCCTTATTCCTCCTGTTGGGATTGAAGACGAGAAAACCCTTGGCGGGATATTTTGCAAAAACAGGAGTAGCACTCTTTTTTCCTGGTAGAGAGATGAGATCCACCACAGAGACCCAATGACTGTACCTTGCTAGCCAACTTTGTTATTTAACCTGGTTGCAAAATCCCCCAATTAATGTTTCTTAGGTGCACGGGAAACATTTTAAGCATTTAAGAAATGAAAAAGATTCCTTCTATATAAATTTTTTTGGTGTGTGTAAAACAACCTATTTATGAGGATGCCATTGAAAAATGAGATTATGAGAAAGATAAGAATAATTAAACCCACCAATTCATTTTTAAAAATTCCAAAACAGGTTTGTGATTTATAAAACAATTACACAGAAACTAGAAAATAATGTTTTTTGTTATTAAAAATCATAAAATAAAACTCAGTTTTGTTTTGCAGTGAGCTCATTATAGTGCTCTATATAGCACTATAAATAGAACTAATAGACTCTTTATATAGTTTATAAAATATTTGTTTGTGCTATAAATTATACTCAGATTGAATAGTTTTTAACCCTATGTTCTCAAAGTTTTAAAACATTGGAACAAGGCATTGCATAGACAGACTTCACTACATACTTAAGTATTATTACTTTTTTTTGTTCACTTTTATTGGTGAATTGTAAGTATACATCATAGTGGAATTTATTGTTATATATTAGTACATGCACACAAGGTAACCATATAATTTGATCAATTTTGTTCCTCAGTCCCTTTCCTTTCTATTTATGTATTTTAAAATAAAGCCAGGGCCAATATTTTTTTCAGTTGTTATAATGATTAGAATTTTATTTGAATGCATAGAAAATGTCATCCTAAAATAAACTGTTGAGGAGGCTAAACAATCCTCAGTTTAAAACATTTCCTGTTCCAGAAAGAGATTAAAGTCCTGCTTGTGACCGTAGTGTGCAGCTGTGGTCCATTTGCTCTCTCTTAATACCGGCCAACTGCTGGTGGTAGATAGATTGGACTGAATGCCTTGTTTCTCTCTTGGATTTGGTTTGCAGTTTGGGCCTTTCTTGAGCATTTCAGTTGTTTCTTGTAAAGAAAAAGAAAATGATGTGAAGAATGGAAAACTCACAAAAGTGTATTGAAATGCTCTTATGTTCTGGCAAATTCACTGTTTCTAAACAAGGGAGACGTGTAATCTGATGTTTGCCTCTCTGAACAGGGAGACAGGCGGTGAGAAGTTACAACTCCAGAGTGAAGCTGTCCTCTTGTGACCTTTGTGGAGACGTCCAGGGCTGCCATCCTTGTGAGGATGGAGCTTTAGGCCCCCTTCATCACTCTTCAATCCTTGTTATTTCCTGTGTCATGCTTCTGTTCTCTCTGCAATGTTGGTTGTAACTTATTTTTAAAGGACTCCATGTAAAATGAACATTTCCAAAAGTCATATATGATTTTTTTCATAATCCAATATTGTCTCTGACATAT